ACAAAACAAACTAAAAAAAAACAGCCTCACCCTGTCATTGTACATTCCTCTGGAACTCGTACAGCTACGGCGAGGACATGTGAAACGCCGCAAACATGCACTGGTATTGGTTTTAACTTAACTAGAAGGATACACCCTGAAGGTACAAAGGCAGCTTCCATGACAAGGTACAGCTATCTCCTTCTGTTGTCTTTGTGTGTCCCCTGACTCACCACCACCACCCAGTGTAGCCCCAGGTAGGCAACAATTTCAGTGGGTGGGTCTATGTTGTATTGATTTGACAAATCTATTCTATAGCTACGGTATTATGGTACCAACCGAACAAATGTTCACATACTCAAATTCACTCACTTTGCTGGGACCAAGAGCAGCACTCACATTAACATTTGATAGAGAAAATGTTGAAATATTATAGAGTCTAGGATTTTAAAATTTGTTCAGGCCACTTTTCATCTCTCCCCCCCACACACACACAAAAGTCAGCAACTTCAATTGTGCAGTACCCTGGCAAATTGAAAATCATAACAAGACTGGGGGAAGAGGCAATTTCAGTGAGACACTGAACCCCAGAGCACCCACAGGCCTTTGAAAGCACACCACCTACAACACGTAGGCAATATCTAAAGCACCTCAGCTCACTGCGGTACAATTCCGGCTGCGCTATGAAATACAGCCCACACACTCCGTGAGTCAGTCCCACACAGCGTCGCCACAGTCGCCTTCAGCTTTCAGCTTTAGTGAGAGTGGCAAATTACTCAGCAGTAGAGAGTCTGTTCCCGTCAGTGGCAGGTTGCTCCCTGTCTGTCTGCCCACCCTTTGTCCCTCTGGAGGAAACAGACGGCATCTCTGCACGAGAGCTTACTTCTCACTTAGAGTGCTAGCCCTAAAAAGGGACATTAACAACCTTTGGAGGATTAACCCTTGTCTCCCCAGCACGGAAAAAAAAAAAAACAGGGGTCAAACAGAGGGGAGGAACGATGATCTCTTCTGGCCCCATGACATTCACCTTTCACACAGCTGACCTAATCAATATACTTGAAGAGAAGCATCCAAGCCAACTCATGAGATCAACTCATATCGGCTCATTACAACCCACCATAGTCAAATGAAAAATACTGGGCCGCACGCAGCTCTACGTGTTGAGCTGTACTGCACAATCTGCATTGATCCTGCATTGTACCTCCTGGGTGCAGTTTAGAGTTACATTTTTAAAGCAGTCTCAGTAGAGGCTGCTTGACCTGGTCAAGCAAGCACCAGGTGAAAAATAAGGAGATAGGCTGCAGCCATGACAGCACAGAGCTCCAGATTCCAGAAGACAGATCAGTTTAGTCTCCTGAACAGTGCATTGGGCAAAAAGTGAGAAGGCAGGGCTGTTTGATACTTACCTGTCATACATGACCAAGCACCTAAAGAAAACTGAATATTTCATATTACAGCTGGGCTCAGTTTACTGATCTTATGAAGATGCAATGTCAAAGGAATGGAATTGACTGTTATTTTCACTCCTGGGTTACTGCGTCTAAGGTGGCTTTCTGCCAAGCTCATCCTGGGATGCCCTCCTGTTCCGACAGGAAAAGTTACTGGGACACATGAAGACAGCTGAACAAGAGAGTTATTTACATTTTAGGGGATTTCTGATTTTTTTAGAATGAATTCTGAATGAAAACTCACTCAATTTCTGTCTAACGGATTCCACAGGGGTTTTGCAAATTTATTTGGGGGGTAGGTGAACCAACAACACGTCTGTGCGGATTTATTCACTGGCTATCAGACAGTTTGATGCAAGGCTTCCCCTGGAGCTCTGGTGCGGTCCAGCCCGTGGTCCTGCTGTCTGCGACAGGCGCAGAACTGCAGACATGCGGGCTCAGATAGCGGGCAGAGAACTATTCAGACAGCCTCAAGAGCCTCTCAGGCCTTGCCTCTGAATCCTGGTCCTGGAGAACCCTTGCAAGGGGCTCTTAAATCAGTTAAGCTAATTGATCTGAAGAAGATTAAGATCTGTTTTCCAGTTAACAAGGACTTCGTCCAGAGGTGCAGAATGTACATGATTGCACGTGACCTGAACACAAAGTGGCATTTTGCGGTAGAAGGGCTTGATACGATGTCTAGACACAGGTGGGGGATGACATTCTTAATTGGTCCCCCATTGAGAGCAAACACAGTCAGATGTACTGAAGGGTTCAGACACAAAACACTTAACGAGTAGTGAACTCTCGCTGAGAAGTGAATGGAAGGAGCTCCCTTTGCTGAATTTCATCCTAGCAACACACCTACAGAGTACATCTGAAATCAAAGATTGAGTGCAGAAACAGATGGAAAAGGTCTGATTGTACAGGAACGTCACTTAAAGGGATTAATTAGCCTCAGACTAAGAACTCATTTGGAACAATAAACCAGAATACACAGCAGTCCTCTGGGACCAGTGTGGAGAACCGCTGATATAGGGGACTCTGTTAAGGTAACACCAAATCTCGCTCCTACTGGTTCCTCAGTCCTCTTCTCCAACCCTACTGCGTCCTTTGACACATCACCCATCTACCGAAATCTCCACAAACCACAGCGTTTTCCTCCAAGGTTCGGGGAGGGGGTCAAACCGGGTGAATTATTGTTTTAACCTCTTCTCCAAATATCAACCGCAAAACCACTTGGCTTTCTCCTGACCTTTCTGCTCTACCCACACACCAGCCTCGCACCGTACCGACTTCACCACCCTGCTGCCGGCTCGTGTGCCAGAACTGGGTCGCCCTTGCTCTGTTGGCAGGAGTTGCCTGGCAAGCCTGTTTGTCCTGTAAAGTAATCCCATGACTGCGAGCTGCGAGCGTGGGAAAGGGAAAGGTAGGGAGTAACCTTTCATTAAGGATAACACACGGCTCGCAAGTCACCCCCCTTGCAGGCAAACAGGCACTCACCCCTTTCCAAAGGGGGTTTCTCTTTTATTTGGGGGGGCTGCTGAAAAAGGCTCGTCTGTGCAAGGCTGATAAGATAGCCTGCTTGTTATACAGTGTGCTCAGCAGACTATGAGAGATTCCTGCTTTGCTTGTGAAGGAGTGCTTTGTTATGGAAATGTTGGGCGGAAACTAACCTTCTGTATTTCCATCTCGCTAAGCTTAGTTTAGACGGCCAAGATCAGCCCTCTGCTTGGAGAGGGAGAGAGAGGGCTATCCTTTCACACTGGTACTGGCACACACTCTGGCTGTTCTCTTCCCAGACAGACATTATCCCAGCTCTCTCACAGCCCATAACTAAACCTGATGCTGGGAAGTAACAGGTGGTTTACGTAATCTCCCACCAGACTTCACATTATATTAGTAACACCCCCCCTCACCCAAAAATAGTAATCTGAGGTCTTTATCCATTAAGTGGTCTCAGTACCACACTGAGAAACTTTTTAACCCCTCGTTTCGTCGTGTTCCATTAGAACCTTAATTATTCCAATATCATGTCTGAAAAAAAAAAACTTCTATTTGTGGCACGCAAGCTGTTGAGCTGCTTCTCTGTTCAAGTGAAAACGGAATTAAATACCAACAGAAGCTAATGAACATACTGTACACCCGCATGAGAGAGAACATCTTGCGTTAAGCCCTGCACCACCAATGTCTCACTGTAAAAAAAAAAAAACCCAATAGTATTATGAAGGACTTATCACTCCCGTCTGTCAGCAGATGAAAAAAAGTCTATAGATTCAAGTTGCTCCATCCACCTACTGTACTTCTCCCTCGGCTCCTCTCAGCGTGTCATAATGCCCCCGTTCTCTAACCCCAATTATCACTCCCGGCCCCACGGGCAGCTTGGTCTGGCTAACGCCGATGAAGACATTATGGAAATAGATAAAGTGTTGTAAATTGTAAGACTAGCGTAGACGATTTTTAAGAAAAGAAAAGCGAACTTCCGAGTTTTGGAGTTAAGTGTCACTGTTTGTCAGTTTTGTCTTTTTATACAGAATAAACACGTTTCTGGGAAAAGGTTAAGTCTCCAGGTGCAGTCTTTCGTTTATAAAACTTAACTAAGCATACATCTATTAAGAAACAGAAGAAAAGTTTACTGCCTGGGTTCGTTCTCATGGGAGAATATCAAGTAGCTCCCCGATTGCTAGACTGGTTTTTAAGACGAGAACGCCCAAAGCCGTTTCTGCTCCTGGCAAATTTTATAGGACGACGTGATCAAACCTTTGAGAAGAGGAATTCACCTCTGTCACAGAGTAAATAACGTCATCTGCAAGGTTAGTACCATTATTCGTGAGCAGAAGACACCCTGTACAGCATACCACATCACCACTGAAATCTCAATGGTACCCTGGTTTTCGGTACCAAGAGATCTCGCACCTGTGAATCGAGGCGAAGAAAGTACAGGATCTGGCCCATTTTCCATCTTGAAGAACTGGCTAGAACGAAGCTGTCGCGTAACCGGAACGACCGACTGATTCAGCAATTCAACTGTGCTGCGGCGGACTACGGCTGAATTTAGCAAATCGAGGAGGGAGTTAGTTCAGCTGGGCAAACAGAAAGCTCTTCATGCCGATTTTTAGCAAGAAAACTATATAAAAACAAGCGTTTCCCCCCCACTTTCTCGATGGTTTGTCTACAGTCAATAGCTGGAGTAACCTTGATTGTTGATTAAATGGCATGTTCGTACCTATCTATTCTCTTCTATAACAAAAAATAATAGGTTACCTGTTGCAGATGAGGGAAGAGTGCTGAATACCGATAGGCATGTTATTTTTTTAAATAAACATCTATAATTAATAGCGGATTAAACCTTTTATACCTACATACACATTTTATATTTCGTCTCAAAAATATAATCACCATAATAGGTTAATGTTAATTTAAAATAAGACATTATCACCGGAAAAATATGAATGTACTGTACAGTCATGAATTCAAATCACCTTACATGCAAATTGAGACAGGAGCTCAACAGGCTCAGGGCATTTTTAAAGCTAGCAAGAGCAATTCTTCTAAAACAGATACCTGTAGCCTATAAAAGCAGAGGGCACCTACCTTGTAGACATTCTCAGTTATGCGGTGCACCTCTTCGGTACGAGACATTTTGGAAGCTCCGGTCAGAACCATAGACAAGCCTTTTCTTCTTCAAGAGGAGCTATCCGGAAAACAGAAATGTAGTAGAAAAATAGACCGATACAAAATATGTTTTAAAAAAGGACAGAGAGAAAAGCAGCGCGCACAGAGAACACCGTAGGCAAAACCGCAGCTTTTATAGAGAACTCGCTCTCTGCGCCCACACTAACCCACGCACACAATTACACAGCCACCGAGAGAGCGCTGTCATAGGGGGGCAGCGTCTTCCTTTTAAAACAGCACCGCCTCTTCTTCCTCAAACTCTGCCCGCGGCTCCGCCTTTCAGTTCAAAGACCTTCAAATAACCCCTCCTTCTACCTACCCGATTCCGCACACCTGAAACAGGACCCACCCCCCTAATCCTTGCTCCCCTATGACAGCAGACACCTACGGGTATGATGCGCAGTAATGCGGTCCACAAGACCAGTAGAGCAGAAGGCGGAAAACAGTTGGTATCTGCATACATGAGTCCGCATGGTGGATTATGATACTCACCCAGAACTCCCACCTCCCACACCCCAAGCGTTTCTCTCTGACATCTACCTGTAACCCATACTTTAACCTGAAGCCTGTCCACAACACCTAAGCTAACCACAGCCCTGATGATCTACGCAGGAGTCCCACAGGCTTATGGGACTCTATACTGCAGTCTGTCAGAGTTCTCCACCTTATTGCTCTAAAATCATACTTGCCTGTAGTGAGAGACACACCCTGCGGCTTGGAAAAGTTCCGTCTGTTTAACGTAGGAGCAGTCTGCTCCAAACGCGCACTGCCGCATAGTCTCCCAGGTTGCACATGTATATGAAACAGTCCTCTTCGATCCATGATTCCACTGGTAAATCAAAACCCACTTGTCTCCTCCTCTCTCAACACTAACCTAAAAGGCGCGTCTTGCATTCCCAGTTTAGCAACATCAGCACTTCATCGCGATAATTCCGTTCAATCAGTGAGTAATTACTCATGTCTAATTAGCATGGGTTGTTTTTTTTATCCTTGTTTGGGTTTGTCATAGATTTGCAAAAGCTCTTCGAAAACAAAATGCGGCAGACCTTAACCAGCAAGCAGGGTTAAGAATTGTATTTCACTAATCTAATGGAAGAAAACCTATTCTCCCTCTCTTTGCGTTCATTCTCTGCTGCCATGTATATAAAATCTTAAAACATGCTGTGCTGTGTATCTAACCTAAGCTGTCAGCAATGCCGGATTTTCAGGCAGGTCGAAGGGATGTTATGTTTGTAGACCTGTATTTCACAGGCAGTGAGGTAGGAGATGGTTGACAACTGTAATTAAAAAAGAAAGATTTTGGCACTGGCACTGCTTTTTTCAACATTCTACTTGAAAGCTGAAATGCATATTGCATGAAGAGCAAAAAGGCGATGCGACTCCCATTTCATTTCAAAAATACATCTGCAATCCCGGTAAACTGCACAAAAACATAGCCAAAGCCTTTAATTACACCTCATAGACCGAGAGAAAATCTTTGTCCAACCCTCATGATAATGAAGACAGCGTGATTTTCACAGTCTTTAAATATAGTGGAAACCCCGAGCAAAGCACATCAAAATGGTCCAAAAATCTCAACTGCGCTTTTCCAGTGGATCACTGTGGTCACACTGGAGATGCTATTGTTGGTCAAGTAGGAAACAGAGGCATTATAATGGATTTGTTCAGTGAAGCAGCTGCTGCTCGCTATGTGTGTGTGTGTGTGTGTTGTGTTTGCTGCCTGTGAGGGTGGAGGTGGGCTGAAATGACTTTGTGCTAGAATTCCAAACGAAACACAGAAGACAGCACAGTCCTGTGCAGTGTAGGAGGGGATTCCTCCACTTCATTTAGAGATGGTCACGAAGCTGACACAAATCACTGATTTTTTTGCCTCTGTATGTGTTTTGCATTCTAAATGGTGTCCAGTTCTCACAGACCGTGCAGGAGTGAGATAGCATACAGTATGGTGTAAACTGCAGGAGAGTACACATAAAACATGACACTCCGTGCAGCTGCCATATCTCATCATCTCATATCATACAAAAGATCCTTGTCATGTCATACAGGTAGACATTGGCATGTATTGTCTTCTGAAAAAGCTGTCTTTGCACGCAGCAGTTCAATTCAACAGCCGAGGCAGTACATGCAGCTATATTATGGGTTTAATCTGGTCTTTAATTCTCTGTTTTTCACAAGACTCTTTAAATCTTGTTCCCACAAATCACAGGGTGAAAACAAAGGAAAATAAAATTAGCTTTTTTTTTAAGGAAACCAACCAACCCACTAATTCCAAATTGTCACTAAAAGTGGTCTTCTTCTCAAAGTGTTTCTCAGAAAAGCTCTCCAAAGCCTACTATTTACTAGAAACTACAAAAATAATTGTTCTAACTAGTCAGCGTTAACACTATACTATAAAATACTGTAGGTATTGATCATATAATACACAGATCTGAGTGTATATGTAAATGTATGGTTACTGCGAGGGTAAGGGGAAGGTGGAGGCTGCTTTAAGGATAAAGTTAGGCATGAAATGCCATACTCACATATCATACTTATACAGTAAAAGAAGAAAATGATGAAAATAAAAAATACCCAGTGATTCTTGTGCTGCCTTGCTGGTGTGTCATTTCAGGAATAACTAGCTGAAAAATACCTGTTGCAGATGGAAAGACAGTCATTAAAACAGCATGTACATCAGGAGTGGATTCCAGAACAAGACTTTGGACCTTGACAGGGACTGCCAGTAACCACAGGGACATTTTTTGTCTTTAACAAGGATACTTTATCTTCACATATCGGCATTGCCTTGGGGCTTTCCATCCAGGCATACTTACTGAGGCAACTGCTATATGCTTTGTATTAGACATGGCTCACAAACCCAGGACATGTTTCCAACCCGGCCTCAAGGAATTCACTGTACAGTGACAGCTCTCGTAGCATCACTGGTGCCCTCTAGAGCTCATTACGGAAACTACAATTATCATAATTATTTAGAGGAAAATGAGCGAACAAATGGGGCTGGACCTCTGTCCACAGAAGTGTTTAAGATGAGGCACTTTGAGAACATTCTGCAATTTTTCAAAGCATGGGAAAGATCCCAATGGAAATAGCCAGAGAACAGAGCTGTTGAAGAGTGAGAAAACCCAAATGAGAACATTAAGAGCAATGGTCTAGAATGGTCTCGTTTTTAAGAGCGGATGGGTTCCGGGGTACGAGCGTTGGGTTTATGATTCAGGAAATGGTCCTGAGCAGAAGAATTAAAAATCAGACTAAAAGGATCACAACATTACCACCCTGTACCTAATCTCAACAGACCTCAAAAGCTCAGCAAGGCTGGGCTCAGTACTGGAGCCAGTACGGAGCAGGGAGATATTGAAGACAAATCAGGTATTGCTATGTTAGTGGTGCTGGTAGACCAGAAGGTGGTGACTTTCCAAACCAATGCCCCAGTATAGTGATGGGACACTGTGCTGTATCTGTTACAGATCCAGTGCTGTAGTTCCGAGGATCTGGTTAACTCCAGTGTCTTGAATGGACTTGTACAAGCTGCCCTCTCTTAAATCAATTTCGGACAACCTTTCTCACCTCTCTACCTGAGCTGCTGCTAAGTGGGGTTAATGGCACCAAACAGCTGCAACGCACCACCCAGGCAGGTATCCAGCTGAGGATAAAAAGTGTTATATAAACGGAAGGAATTATAAGAGTAGAACAAGGGAGAAAGGAATAAAACAAGGAGAGAGAGGCAATAGACTCCTGTCAGGAGGCAAAGTGAGGACAAGTTAAAAAAAAACTTGTGAAAGTGTCAAGGAGCTAGTTTGGGCACGGTGACATCATCACCCTCCCTGATCATAGCAGGGACCTCAGCCGCCTGGGCTGAGGGAGGTCTCCTTTAGCTCACTCGGCTGGTTCCCTGCTGCGTTACGCCAGAGACCCGGGTTCGAGCCCAGGTGTTGTGGGACGAACTGGCGGGGTGGAGCAGCGTGGGTCACAAAAGCTTCTGAAGAAAAAGGAAGGAAGCAAAACCAGGATGACCTGGCAGCAGGGCTTTTTCAGACAAGATGAGACCAGATGAGGAAGAAGAGCTGGTTTCTCCTGCTTCCTCGTGGCAGGACTCTGTTAAGCACGGGCTGAGTGCTGAGCAAGACAAGAGTCAGGGCTGAGAATAAAGAATCGAGTGGATGGCTGAGGCCAGGGAAGAAGACAGATTCCAGACAACATAGCCAGTTTAGTATCAAAAACATAATTTTACGTACAGAGGCACGTGTGACGTATTGATAGAATCAGAGCATGACTCCAAAGCCTGAAATCAACCGGACTGCCTGTCAGGGCTCTGGGCCAGACTGGAATGACAGCTCCTTGAGAATTTATCATTAAGATCAGGAAAAACAGTGACAGTTGCTGATCTCAGCTACTGTTGGGTATTTTGCTGACTGACAACAAGTCATCAACTTCATCAAAGTATAAGCAAGAACTTGTCCAGGATAAACCAACACAGCATTATGCCTTTGTTTATACCAAACAGCTTTCTGTGAATAAAAGTTCAGATTGACTTCTCTTACCTGTTTCTTTCTCCATCATGTTTGCAGCAGCAGCACGCGCACACACACACACACACACACACACTGGTAGCTTTCATTCTAGCTGGGCTCTTTTACTTAACTGAACAAACAAGGTAACTGAACAAACAAGGTACTTGAACTTCATTACACAGAAGCTGGAAGCTACTTTGGATGCAAAATAGATGGAAAAACAACCGACAACATGTTTAGGAACTGAAAACAATTGAAGAGTCCAAATTAATCCCACTGTTAGGTCAATTAAAAACTTAACCATGTAACTAAGAGCCCGGCTGGAATAAAAAGCAGCAGGTGTTTTGTGAACACCACCCAAGGCCTTTCTGCTAGAGCAGGTCCACTTACAGTATATATACAGTAACATACCTGTTTATACTGTGTGTATATATATATTACATGTATATATTCTGGCAACGTCCTTGTGCCGAAAAGTGTTTACCAGTCTCCTTGTGTTTATGGCAGCTAGACTCTCAGCTGGAAGAATATGTGTTCAGATCCCAGGTAGGGACTTCTGTTCTGCTGTTTTAGCAAGGCATTTAAGATTGCTTCAGTTCTGTACAAATGGGTACCAATGTAAATAAAATAGAAGATAACTATAAGTGATTCAAGAAAACAGTAAAAATCAATAAGTTGTGGTAAAGAAATCATTAAGTTACTAACATGTAACTTGCCTTTCCTAGTTAAAGGGCCAAAAAAATATTTCAACACACTTGCAAAATTCTGTTTATTAAACAGCCAGCAGCTTCTCATGCATTTTATCATTGTGCTGTTTCCACACAGTTCAGACCAGTACAGTTCTAGAATTCTTATTATCTTCAGAACTAGATGAGATCTGCTCATCCTACAAAAATATTACTCCACCTGCTATCTTATTAAGTCAATGCTTATTAACTGGTGGAAGACAGGAGTGGTTAATACAATAAGTCTGATGAAGCTGTATCAGATCTCTCAGGAGTGACGAAGTCAAAATGTGTGTGTAGCAGCCAGTTTCCTGCAGTAGGAATGCCATTACGTCAGTGACTGCAGATCAGAACAACTAACACGCAGCAGAACCCCCATCACGGTTCACTAAGAATTAGAAACTATAAACAAGGCAAGGGAAGCTCAAAGACATACTGGTGTTGACTCTTAAAATTAAAGGGTATATGAAACTATCTCAGATTAAGAGGAGGTTAAAATACTCAGGGAAAATGAACTTGTGCTTTATTATACTTCTTACTGACTTCATTCAAAAAAAAAACAGCTCTGATGAGGTACTGCTAGTTCCTGAGCCCTGAGCTGCGTTAGTTGGAGGGTTGTAGGTGGAATATAGCTGTATCGCTCTCTACACTGCACTGGAAGTACCACGACTAGTGAGGGGGTGGAGGGAGGTTCTGAAGAACAGGCAGGCTTGGTGAGGGGGGGTCCTGGGTGGGAGTGGGCGGATTGGTTTGCGCCCCCAGGATATCATTAGCAATCCTCTTTATAGCTCACTTTACAAAAGAGCTTTCAGGAAATGCTCCATTCCTGCCTACAGATTTCATTTTTTTTCATATAAGGTTAAAATCTTGTATTGTGATTCATGAGCTGCAGTCGTGCTGTCACTGTTATGTCTTGGCAACTCTGCCAGCCTAAACACTACCACTATGGCACAGGAAGTGCGTTTTAAATGCAGCTGTCACATTAATTGAAATGGACTCTCATGTCCCTGCTTAATACACAAGCTGAAATAAATGGAGATCTAAAATTCTGTAGTCTATATGCAAGTCTGGCCTCAAAGTCATTCACATTGAATTGAATTTGGGTTTGTGGCTTAAAAACCCACAGCTTAACTATTCATCCACCCTTAGTTCAGTTTAATATTGACAGTCTAAGAAGGAAATGCAAAATAGTGACCAGCATCCTTTTGTGGGGACTGCTGAAGAAAAAAATCATAGCTCTTAAAACTAATTCCAGTGACAAATTGCAAGTTAAACAGAACAATACCAAAAGAAAACTGAGCATTTCTACATCATGCCTCCACTGCAATCTGTCTAACTCAATCCTGTCACATTGAGCCAAGTCCCAGACTTTGCTTGATCTTACTGAAAAACTATACCCTGAAAAAATAAAGGAAAATCCTTTTTGGTATGTTTGGCAGCACTGCTCTGAGGATCTAGCAATAATATAGAGAATGACTCCAAAACAAGATGATTAAAAGTATAAAAGTCTTTTCAAACACCCAATTAGAGAATTTTCTTCACATAACCTCCATTGTTAATTTAGTTCTTACTATAGAAATGGTTGCCGAGACAAAAAAGCTGTGATTAATAAAATGCTTATTTTGCATTATTTCCTGTATATACGTAAGACCATGTAAGGGTAAAACAGTGATTATAAAAAATACATGAGCTCTTTCCTGGTACAGCAGATAGATCATAGAAATTGTTACATGATGCTCCCTTGTGGCTAATGATATTCATTACACCGAGCTACTGATGTAAAAACCAATGCCATTCAAGTTAAAGACCAGGAGTTATCTGAAACAATTAAAAATACTTTTTTATTGTTGAAGCATACTGACAACAACAACACAAAACTAACCATCCAGTGTTTTATCTCACTTTGTTTGACATTTTTGTGAGGTACCGTTGTCAACAGGAGTATAGTGTTACGTGATTCTGTACAGAAGTATTAGGAACTTGCAACACTGGTGATCTCAGAATTTTTTATAGAAGCAAGGGAGATTCAATAGATCGAGGGACAGAATTGAACAAATTGCCCCTAACAAGTTAAAGAACATGTGTCAAAGTAGAAATTGCATGGGACTGCCAGTTAAAAGTGCTCTATAAAACTGGATGAGTTTGGACTTTACAACTACTGTTCAATCCCACTTCTCTATGAAGATACCCTGTTAAAAGCAGATCTCATCCTCTGTTCAATACAGAATGGAAAGTGAAAGGCATTCGAAAATGGAGTACTTAAGGAATTAGGAACCTTCTACTTCTAGTCTTGCCAACTACACTTCTTTTTTCTGTATTTCTGGAAACCCTGTGTGATGACACCGGTGAACTCACCTAACTCCAGAAAAAAAAACTGAACTACAAACTTGAAAGAAACAGGTCGAAGCAAGAATGTCACACTGCTAAGGGCAACAATGTACTGTATATTCCAAATTAGCAACCATCAATGGAATATTTAGTGTGTTTCAGAAATGACTTTATTTTCAGAGATTTCCAGAATGATGTAGGTTTGAGCAACAGATTTAAAAGGTGGCTAAATCTTGAATCAGCTACAGTATACTACCCCTCCCCCCTTAGGAAATAAAACTCAGGAGAGCCCTTTCATTGTATTTTTTATAGAGAGGATACGCCTTGCAGACACACCTCTGTGCTTCATAGAACAATGGGTATTTATGATAATTCTGCACACTGCTGGATGAACTGCCAGAAAAACGGCACATAATGTAGAACATGTATCAAGATTCTACCAGCCAGGAAACTACCCTGTTTTGAGGACAACGAAAAGCCCCATGGTGCTAACAAACCCTTATACCTCTTCTGAGCTCTGCTGCTAATTTCTGGGCAACTGTAGAAATCCTCCTTAGAGGATCTCAAAACAGGGACAGAAAAAAAACTGCACACCTGTTCCATATAGCTCAAACAAAGCTGTTAAAGCAAATACCTTGGCATGAAACCCAGGATTTTTTTAAGCATATACTTTGGTTTTAAAACCTTAATGAATGTTTGCGAGAGTGCTGCTAGTTAACAGTGACATTTTATAGCAATGTTGTCCGAAAAGATCATTAAGCCAAGGCAAACCGAGTGGCTTCAACAATACAATCCAGCATGACAAATCTACATTTTGCTATACAGCTGCAGTTTTGCCTGAGGTATGGTGGAAGCACCAGTACTGATTCCATTGTTTAAAAGGATGTGATAATTTGCCTTTGCAGTTCAAAGTAATCTAGTGGTGAAAGGGTTAGGGACTACACAGACTGGCAGTGGTTGTAATGCAGTCTCTGTTTCAGGAGATTGAAGGGAAGACATTGTAATCGCTAAAACCAGTTTAAATACTAACATAGTGTTCAGGACATACACATTTTTTTTACATGATTAAGAAATTATCAACTGGTAGCCAACACTGAAAAACAAATCCACTGTTTTGCACACCGGGGTTTTGTGGATCCAGGCCACACTTTGGGTAAGTCGTACAACCCACTACTGGACTGAAACGGATTACACAAAAGCTACACATATTCATATATTCTAGGCTTTGATAGCAGGCTTCTTCTTGTCCCGGAAAAGAACAGGAAAAAGATATTTGACCATCTAAGAGGGCAAATAAACTGGTTCTGAATATCTGCTTTAAAATAAAGAACTCGGATAACCTCCACATCATGGAAACACCATGTATAAATTCCTTAGACTTGTCATCAGTTTTTGCTCAGTTTGAAATTAAACTGTGTCATTAAAAAAGATCATTAGTCAGTAATCCTCTCAATTAAAAATCACTGATCCAATTCAACGGTAGGCAACTGTGCAGACTATCACTTCTAGACAAGCTCCAGAATGGTAGCAAGTTTTGAAACCTGTTTCTCAGTTCTGCAACACAATTATTATAGAGAAACATTTGAGGTTTGTGTAGTCCAGTAGTCCAGGTCAGTCCAGTAGGTGCAAGCCTGGCTATTCCCAGATAAGATGAGCGCCTCCTGGGACAGTCACGAAGAAAAGAAAAGAGTGGGGCTGTAGCAACATCCTGGGAATTGATATGGAACAGGGCGAGGATGCCGGGTGGATACTTGTTATGAAGCTGCCACCAGCTCTGGTTTGGGTTTGTTTTTGACCCTTTCCTTTTCTGAAAAACAAAGAAATAATGACTCAATGTTGGAATCCACAGTGAGCAGTATAACAATAAAACCCAAATACATCAATAACATTCTCAGCAGAATAACAGCCAGTTCCTAAGGCACTTGTAGATAAGACACTTTCTCATTTCAACAGAAATACATCTGCAGCATCCTCCGGGCCCTGAATCTGTTCCCACAGTATTTCACAAGGAGTCGTTATTCTCTTTTGATTTTATTAACATAACACAAATTCAATGCGAGAGTCAGTTACAAACTCCAAGCCATGGTGGATTTCTCTGCTAGGGCCTAATTCACAAAGCTTTTCAACAGCAACATACTTTCATTAAGGAGTTTTTTTTTTTAATTCGCCCCACTTTATAACCTAACCCCAGCCCCCGGGGAAATTAACAACTATTCAACATTATAAGTTAATTTAGGAATTCTGACAGGAGAAATTGATTTCCTCGCCACTATTCATCTAAACAGAGGATTGTTTAAATTTTTTCTTGTGCCAGATATTAACAGAGGATCACGGCAATGAAATGCAGACAACAGTGAAGCAGCCCACTTCTAGATTTGTAATGCTAGGGCTTTAGAAAGTGCATTTAGGTGCATTTGTTTACAATTTATGGTGCAATGAGTGGCTTGCTGTAAAGGTTTTGAGTACTGGCACCCGGTGACAGTCGACTGTTGTGATACCTGGCTCTTTTTCTGGCACCTCGGGCAGGCGTTCTGAGGGCACATCTGGAAGCTCCACTTCTTCACCCTGTCAAGATGCCCACAGCCTTGAAAGTTACAATCGGCTCCTGTACTCAATTCAATAATCTGGTTATGCATATCCTACCTAGCCTGTGTCCACAAAACCCTCACAGGGTTTCCAAGCGGTCAGCTGAGTTTCTATTGCAAGCTTCCTGAATACTGCTAAGCAAGTGCCATGCCTACACATATGTTCGCTAGATAAATGTTTTGATTTATGTCGTGCTTTATTATCCTCATATTTATTATCCTCAATATTTATCATGAAGTAATATTTAAATTTAATTTAATTTGTGACTCTTTTAATCTTGCCCACTGGGCAATTATTGAGAAAACTGTGATGACAAAGGAAAGGTCTTTAATTTCAGTTGTTCTTTAGTTCCAGCTTTAGTCCTAGCTTTAGTCCTGAAGCCTCTGACAAGTTCCTCCACCTCACAATGTGAAGTCTTACAGAGATACAAGCTCTGCACTTAAGTCATGAGAAAGTCTTAAAGATATGAATGGACAGACCTGAGAAATAGCCTCCAGTTCTGCCAGAACTGCATCTTCATCTTCTTGGGTTAGAGAACCTGCCAACATGTCATCAATTTGCTGTAGAAACAAAGACATGGGAAAGCACCACATGGTTCATATGAAATGTATTTTTTGTATTAGACATAAATGTAAGTACTTATTTGGTCCTCAGAATTAAGGCTGCACTTCAAGCCGTATTAAAAAAATTAATACGTCTATAAAAATGCAACTTAACCTCACCAATAAATCCATCCAGTATCTCCATTACACACACTAATCGCAGTAATGAAGTGTCTAAAAGAACTAGTTCAAACAGAACAGCTACAGCAATATTAATATTAGCAATATTAATGTAACACCTTGTAATTCAAATTGATGTCAGGCACTAAGCCATTTTGGTTCATTAACAAAAGGAAAAAAAGAAACAAAAATATTTCACAATAGCAAGAAGCACCAAGACATTTTTTAAATGAGCCTTCTGCTTTTTAACTTCATGACAGGGTAGGGTCTTAATAGCGATGGTAATTTTACCCTTTGATACTCGATACCATCTTGAGTCTCATCCATAATGCGTTCCACCTCTTCTATAGACATCACCTGGAAAACAAATCAGTTTGTCAGGTGTGTTTAAGCAGTCATTTTTATGTAGAGCAGTGTGTACAAGTTCATATTTGATTTCACTTTGAAGGAGGACTCTAATGCTGGAAATGTCAGTCTCCAGCTATGCTACAGTGACAAAAGAGATTTACAGTGTAATCCTTTAAGCTCAATGAGACAGTTTGTGTTCTTACTGCAAATGCAAATATACATAGAACCTTATGAAAACAATCAGCTTGATAGAACAGAATGTACTTTCTGGTACAGTAAACAAAATTAAATGCTCAGTGCGAGGAAGTCAATACTGTTTTACCAGGACCAAAGTTCCACCATGACAGTGCCTTAATTAGGTTAACTTGCATCACAAATTTCAAAACTCAACGTGAACACAATAAGAATCATATGTTCCTATTAAAAATGACATTTTATTGAACAGAGGCCTCTTTGTTATCTCTTAAAAAATCTCCTTCAGACAAACTTTGATAAAAAGCTTTATAAAGTAAAATATTTTGCACGTTTACTACTTAATAGCAGATTACAACAAGAAGTGGCCATTTCAGATACAGGAGGAGAGAGAAATAGCCTTCATTTTCTTGCAGACTTGGCAGATGTGTGGCATCTTGAGACACAGAATGCAAAGTCAGCATTTTGCGCCTGCTGGAGCCCAACTGCACTAATGAACATGTTCAAACTGCAGACCCAGGCGCCATTATCACCTCAATCACATACACTGGGAATTAATCATTCCTTAAAAGCAGGAACCCTACACTGCTCAAAATCCTAAATGACTATCCAAAAAAATGTAAAATGCAAAGCATAGCATAGGCTGGAATGTTAAAATAAAGTCATTTCTATATAGCAACCATTAATGTATTTTTTCTTATTCTGCAAATACAAAAACACTTTGGCAGAAAACTATCCAAAACCGCATATAATCCCTTTTTTCATCCCGGGTCAAGAACCAGGACATGGATATCAGATAAATACCTCGTGCATCTTCTTCAGACACTCATTGCCAACCTTCAATCCTTCGATAACTTTCATTTCTATCTGGGCAAATTCAATATCTTGAACCTTTGGAGAAAAAAATTTACACATATCATTATACACATGAAGATTTAGCTCTTTCACAGCGGTCTGCAATTTCTAAATGAAGAAATTTGTATTCCTTTCACTAAAAACGGATACATCATATAAGAAAAACATTTTTCGAGCTGAGATCAAATGAACACGGATTTGATCAAGTTTGCCAGTGTTGTAATTTTCCTTTAATTCCACTGAGAGATTTAGGAGTGAGTCCCAGCGGTGTACTTACCATGTGTTCCAGATTGCTTATCTGGTTTTCCGTCTTGTCCAGGAGCTGATCCTGGTATCGCTTTTTCTTAAGCAAAAGCAAAGCCTTCCTGAAACAAAATAAGGCGGTATAACTTTATTATTGCTGTATGCATACTAGTTTATTGTAGAAATATATTGTTAAGAATTAAAACTGGATCACAATTTTAAAAACACTATACACAAAAAGGTGCAGCCAACAGGAAGAAACTACGTAGTCGTATTGTCAAAGTGAATTCCTAAAACCACTGGGATGAATAATCTACTAACACAGAACGGCTGTAGCCGAATACCTGCCTTTCATCTGTAATCCTTCCTGTGCTTTTAGTCACCACATATTTTAAATAGCCACTGTAAAAGACAGCCAAACTAAAGCTTTAATATCCCAAAACAAAAGCCTGTGTATGCTAGTTTGTTATTGGCTTTACTTATCTAAAAATGAACATACTTTGATAGGAAGTTTTACAAAGTGAAGAAAGTTTAATCATCAATGTCAAAAGTAAAGTATCTGCACTTCCACTTAAAAATTCACCTCCAATGTCCCTCCATTCACCAGAATGTCCCACAAGAGTTCCTCCTAACAACTCCGAGTTTAATATAAAATACTGTGCACTCACTCTTTCTTTCCATCTCTCAGCAGTTGCTTTGCCAGCAGCCTCTCTTTCTCTAGGTGCAGAGAGATCTTCTTCTGGTACTGTTTCAGTTTATCTCTCTGTTGCTTCAGTTGCTGCCAGTGGAGAGAAGTGACACACAGTTTTCAGACACACATTAAGCACAGCTCCCCTTCCTAGGAGCTGTCAATTGACAATCTGTTCTCGGAAAGGCATGATTCCATGAATCGATTCTCAAAATCAGGACAGACTCAATAATATGCAGGACATTGAACTTAGGGAGCAATGTAGTAGAGATGCCAGTCCTCAGTTCTTAAAAATACAGTATTTTTTTAAGCAGAGATTAATGGTTGAAAACCATTTTCTATAGACAAGAAACGATCAAGGGGCAAAAGACAGGCATAATCAATGTTTTTATAAGGCATTTTATGAAACTGCATAAAGTAACATGACAGGCTTTTATAAAATATTTAACGCAAAGCAAATTAAATTTCCGTTTATGTTGAAGTAACGACGTGAGAGCTCCAAAGGAACTCGGACCCTTTCAGAGATCGTCTCAATCACACCAAACTGAGACCTTGGCATGAGGTGGACTCAGCTCCTTTGGGCAAAATAAGTGAGTTCAGTCCATTTGACTTTGAAGAATCTCAACAAGCTGCTTTCTTTGGCTCCCTCTTTGGAGGAACTGTATCTGAAAGGCAAGGTGTGTGCACACTCTTCCATCCACATGGAAAACACAGGATGGGAGACAGCATGGCGATATCGCAAAGCATGAGGTGGTATTGTAGGCCAAAGAGATGAGGTCTGTAGTCATCTGCAAAGCACAAACTGAATGATCACCCAACACTTCCTTTAATGGATCAAAAAGTCTCCAGTGTCCTTCATTGTTTCTTCAGTAGAGACATCTTTGTACAGTTTAATGCACTTTTTTATATTTTTCACTAAATGGTGCCAGAGGAAAACAAGGCCACAAAAATGTAGATTTCTTTGGCAACAGGATGCACTAATGACCTGGACGCACTGTCTGGTGGCAGGTGATTGGACAGTTCTACATCTGAAAGCTACTTAAATGGAAGAATGAATTCAATGTTAATAAAAAAGCAAATTGTTCAGCATTATGAATTACACACACACGCCACATTCCTCTGTGAACCGAGTTATTTTTGCCGTAAGGTTTATTTATACGAACTAAATTCATTTTCCAGTGACCCAAGTTCGGTTCGTTTGAAAAATAAATGAATGGAAAGGGGGTCTTAGAGAAACAAGCTGTCAAAACGGCGTGGCAAGATATCCCCAACACAATCCAATTCAGAACATTTCTCCACTTGCTGAGAAATGAACAGCCATTTCGTCAAAATTTGAAATCCAACACTTCAATGCATAAACCTCTTTTAACTGGTCCGTCGGGTTCGTCCACTACATTCTTATACTTCACTATTACAATAGTGCATTTCAGCAATACGGGTGTAATTGTCAAGAGTGTCAACGCGGTAGTTCTGCGACAACACAAGTCTGTTCCGAAAAAAATACATTGCTTTCATCGTCTTTTTTATAAACCAATCTATTTATAACGAACACCTAAATCCGTTAGCTACCGCCCTTAGTAAACAAACTAATAAACATAGATAATACTTTAATCGTATTTGTCCTTCATTGTTTTGGTGGTGTTGGAAGCCCAACCCAAATCATCTCAGGTCTGTTAACTAATGCTTCCTGTTACCGATCTCTGCAAACGGCCTGGGGATCTGTTATGGGAGAGACCTCCACGGCTCCCACTGATTATATCAACAGACAGGTCAGATTATTGTAACATCTTCAGTATCTCACCAACACTGCTCTGTCCTGCTCCGTCACTCGAGTGCGTCTCTTTCTGCCGAAAATGTTTCCCATTGCAAAGCCGCATCCCCGCCGCTCTCAGCCCGCCCACGGAACGATTTATAACCGCTCAAGTCCCCCCAACGCTCTCGGTTTTAATTTCATATTAACATAAAAAATCAGGAAATCGAGACTTTATTCTATTGTTTCGTTTCAGCGGACTCAGAAACTCCACAGAAGCCGCACCCCTAGCAACAGGAAGTACGGTAGCCGTAGAGTGCGTACACCTCAAATTGAAAGCCGAGAAAAGCAAACTCGAAATACACCGCTTTGCATCCCTGCCAAAGGACCGATTAACATAACGTGCTTGCGTTTGCTAACGTAAACCAAGTTGCTTCCTAAAGCGAACGTTTATTTTTCCCATCCTTCAGCTATAACGTCTGAAAGTTGTCTCAGTGGCCTAGTGGTTACTGTTGCAGTTCTGAGCAGGTCTGGATTTTCTCTCTTCAGAATTTGCAAGTTCTATCTCACAGAGACATGCTGACTAGGTTTACTGGTCTGGTTCTTACAGTGTGTGCTGTATATGTCCTGCAATGAATGTCAGGATGTGTCCTCCTGTACCCTTGGCTTCCAGGATGATCATGAGGTTACTTTAACACTTAACAAGAATGAACATCTTTATCTTTGTCGAGCTGGTGAATTTAAGATCACTGGAATGAGCTGGATAGTGGAACTGTGCAAGGTGTACTGTATACACTGCATGAGTATGTCTATTCTTGTTCTACAAACCTAATGCCCAATCTTTGCTAACTCTGGCTTTTCCGTTTCCAGCTAAATCAATTCAGTAATATATGAAAACAGTAAATTCTAAAGTAATATGGTCTTCATTCCACTTTAGCACTGAACTGTGCTACACTTTAGCAAAATAAGCCTTATTCCTCTTAATTAAGCTGAAGGTACTGTAATTACCACAAAGCCTGACAGACAGATGAGGTCTGTGATGAGCATCCCAGTGCTTTGAATCAGGTTTTACACCCCAGTAGCTTATGTACAGTACCAGCAACAGCAGAGGCTTCTCATGTCTCTGAAAGTTGTATTCTATGAGGACTCACCCACCAGGTTTTCATTCTGCTTTGCTTCCCATTATCTAATGGTCAGCTTCACTGAAGCCAAACCTTTAAATAATATTTAGCACTGAAAAAATAACAAGGAGAGAGCCTGGTGCAGCACATTAGCAGTGGTTAAGATACTGTAACTCAAGAGGTCGTTTGACGGGTAGCAGTAGGTAGGTAGGTCCCTTTCCTGGCCATAAAGGCCCACAGGGGAATGGGGGGCAAGGGCCACCACTTTTCTTTGACCACCTGACACTGGAGGTGGAGGTGATGTGGTCAACATCACACTCCGGCCGACCTGTTATCCCTGGAAGGATTAACCCCTGGTACTCACTTGGAAAGCAGGCTGAGTAGACCTGGGGCCGTGTGGAAGGAATTAGAGCAAGCTACCCCTACCTGGGATTGAACCCAGGACCTAAAAGAATATCGACATTGCTTAAAAAAAGAGAAAACTATTTCTATACAATGGTATAGTCACACAAGTTAGAAAGAGAGACGGAAAACTTCTGGGTGATTCCAGTAGTCTTTATTAAAGGTATACCATGTATTGTTTTTCCAGCATTGAGAGCATTGACTAGTTTCTGAAGAGAACAGAACATACAGTACACACCCATTTAAAGGTCACCCAGAGAAACCGTGAAAACAAGAGCTTGTGTGCAGTTAAAACAACAGCAACGATAATAATAACGGAAAATAAGAACCGTGTCATATACTGTAGGCTATGATGCAGCAAACAAGGCAGTGCAATATAGAACTTTCAAACAGCACAAAGATTTAAAAAATGTTTAATGTCTTAAAATGATAACAATTAAAGATAGATAAAAGCATAACAGCAAAAAAAAGTATGTTGCTTTTGTAGATGCAAATTTTGTGAAAGCCTTTAAATGCTCTTGGAATATGCTTTTTTGTTCTCAGGTATTAGTTGTGCACTGCAAAACTACAAAAGAAAATAATTGAGTAATCATTTCACAATCCAAAACTGTGTTGTGTGCAAAGCAAATTAACTCAACAAGGTTTAAGGGGCATTTATTTATCAGTGGTGTGCAATTAAGTAACTTCGCTAATTTGAGGCACAGAAATATTAAGTTTTGTGATGGATGTATGAGACAAAGACCTAGCATTGAGATCTAACAGATTTAAACTAAAGGAAAGTTAGCAAGGCAATACAAATAAAACATAAATAAACACAAATAACATTAATACAATCTGGGAATAAAATGCAACATTTAGCTTGCTTAGATGGTGGTGCTATGAACAAAACAATTCAGGTTGTGAACACAAATAAGTTGCATTTACAAAATAAATCTAATTAAATGTACAATTCACAGAAATCCTCCCTCATTAAAATATATGAGACGAAAATACTCACATATATCATGTACAGTAAGATCTTTGATCTTCGATATCATAAAGCAACCAGTTTGCAGGTTTCAGACCGAACACAATCTGCATTCAACACCTTTTCTGCAATGAACGTAATAAGCTCGGCTCCAAAGAGAGACTTCGGGAGGGTAGAAAGCTAAAATCTTAAAATTCAGAGTACCCAAGATTCCAACACTGACACCCAAAGTCCAGCAGATGACACATCCCTCTAACACTGAAAGTGTTATAAATATGAAGGCTTTTCATCTTTGCTTTTGGGAAATCTGGTTCTTGTTGATGAAAAACTGTATGGCAGTCAAAAGGAGGTCATTTCAGGTTTTCATATGCAGCCTAGTCTATTTTTGGGATTAAAAGAAACAGAATAAAGGCTTTCAAATACAGGCAGGCTTGACAGAATGGGAAGATAATATGTGAGAGAAACTCTCGGCTATCTACACATTTTACAGTAGTTGCTCAAATAAAATCAAATGGAGTTTAATGAAGAGTTTTTAAAACTCTTAATTAAATATGCATCCAGTGGAGGCAGTTCAGTTCAACTGAGAAAAAAAAACTTTCAGAAATGAACATGTCAGCACTTTCAAAGTAACCAGAGAAATATATTGAATAAGAGATGAGTTACTGTATGAACTGTGATGTAGAAATCCCATGATGCATCTGTTATGAAGAGAAAGTAGAAAAAGTATCTGTGTTTATTTGCCTTAAAATTCTAAATCTAAAAACTCTATTAAAAGTAAGATTATATGAAGAGATTGGTATTGTGGGGAAAAACAGCAAATGTATAAAATGCTGGAGTTTTTTTAATCATATAAATCTTCTTGCACCTATTTATATTAAAATCCAAAGTCAACATCCTATAGCTGGATGAAAGTTTAGAGATTTTAGCTCATTGGTCCAAAAAATGCAGGGTGATCTTGATGGATAATAAATTGTAATATAGTCACTCAATAGAAAAAATACTACAAAATAAATCACAGGCAAAAAGAAATTGAAAGTCTTTACCAAAGCAATATTCTTAGTTCTATTTAGTGCCAACCAAGAATCCAATGCCAATAAATGTTATGCAGCTCTTATGTCTTATGCTACATGTTTTATATAAATGGACATTTTATTTTCATTGGTCAAGTGTGATCAGTGCAATTAGATTTTAACCTTAAGAAATACAAGACTTTGATAATCTACAAAATTTAAATAAATGGCATGAAAAAATGTAAAAATAGTGTATCAACAGTATGTCTTAGACATATAGTATGACCGGTTTCCATTAGAATGCACAGGACTAGCAAAAGCTTGCGAGAAGAGACCTCAGGAATAAAAAGAATTCCCATGACAGAAGCAAGAGAATTAATTCTTGTCTGATTTCACAGGGCATGTCAGGATGGCTTTTCAATAAACAACCTATTTCACAACTTTTGATACAACCACCACCAATGTACAGTACAAGCACAATCTGATCCACCCACTAAAATAAGGACTTTTCCCAGCCAGATACCAACCCTAATTATCAATACATCAATATTTCAAAACCTAACACTGGATGGGAAAAATAAGTAAAATCTAAAGGTACATGTAAGACCCATCTTCATGTTCTTTTTTATCACTCACAGGCATTGCAAATGCAGTTTGTCTCAAGTAAATTGTGGAAAAACATTTAAATTTCAGCAATTAAAACTCTAGCGGGTATGGGACTTTTGTAATGACATCCAACAAGTGATCTGAATATTGATTTAAGGACCAACAAATACAGTATAATTAATGTGTGTTCATTTAATTGCAGCTATGAAGAAACATGATGGTACTCTGGCATCAAAGATTACGTGCTTTAGCATCATCACACTGTGGGAGGTGATATGATTTGCATGCATGTTATAAGTAACACAATATATTTGCTGGAGGTCTGATCTAAGGGTGACTGTTCCATTCAATCACCATTCAATCATCTTAATTGGAACACACTCAAAATAAAACTGCAGCACACACACATAAGAAAGAGCACTTTAACAAGACCGATCAGTGCTTGTACTTCCTAATGCTCCTGTCTACTTTCCACTGCTATGATGGGTCGCCTCTTTCTGCAATATACATCACTTTCATATACACATGTACAAACGTATACATTTATATATTAATACAGCGGCTATACCCTTTGCAGCATATACATCTAGGGTACAGAAGGGTAAAATCACAAGAATTTCACAACAATGTTCCATGACTCAGAGTTCAGCGCACAGTATCAAGAGCCACAAGCAACAGACCTGAAAGAAAGCCAGTGTTTGCGGACAAAACATTCACTCAAAACCCAGCTGTTAAAAACAGCTTTGTTTTTAAGATGCTCTTGAATTTCCAAATCAGATTAATTTCTCAGATACTGTATTTCCGTAGTGTTTCAACTGCTGATTAAAAAGTTGCGGGTATCAAGTGTCCTTGCCATTTCTTACTGTTATTTCATAACAGTGGCGTTTTTGTTTCTTGATCTCTTACAAAGACCTGAAACACTACAGCAGTACAGGCTGTGGCCCCTTAAATGCATGCTTTTTCAAGAGAATGCCTGTCCTCCTATTCTGGTGAGTGAAGAATTGCTTGGAATAACAATAAGAGCCTTCTTAAGCATGCTTGTTAATTTCTGTAGTAGCCTTGCCCTCATACTACAAGGCATGAATGAAGCAGAAAAGGTCCTGTCCAAGATTACCAGTTTGCTACTTGCATGCGTCACTTGCTGTTATATACTGCTGCACGACAATCCAATTAAAACTCAATCTGCTTGTCCCAGAAGCAAAACAGGATGACACTTGTGTTGCTTTTACTTGTGTATTTTTCTTCTCATGTTTGCTTGGGAACTTCTTTCTTGTTTAATCTTCATAACTGTAGAACCAGTTCCTTAGGGAATGACTGACAGACCAAGATAAGCACCTTTTCTGAGAGTGAGAAGCCTTTTTGTAAGAGGCATGTTCAAGTGATTTTTTAGCATGGGAACTGAATATATATGATCTGTTTACCATAGGACATTTAATAATCTAAGATTAAAAGATCTTCTTTTGAAAGTCATTTTGTGTTACAAGTGCCATTGTAGTTGTTATGCAGAGCTCCAGTGAGTTTTCATTTGCGAGAAACCTAATGAACAACAGATGACCAAACTCTAATAAAGTTGGGTGGGTTCCATTAATGATTCCAGATCAGGGTAAAAAAATAGGAACACTAGTTGCCTGCATCATTCAAAAAAAAATCTCTTCAATAACATAAGAGAACCAGGTGAAACAGGATCTGAGATAATCTTGGCTATTCAGTACAGATTAAAAGCACCAGGCGATGCAAGTGACTGAAAAATTCCAAAGCACTGGAGATCTAAGATCTGTAAGAAGTCATCACAGGCTGAAGTACAGCAGAGCCAGGATCCAGCGTAAGGGACAGAAGAAGCTCAGTACTGCAGCTGAGGGGTCACAGCTGATGCACAACGCTCTCTGCATGGTTTGCAGATATGGGCGTGTCCTGCTGAAGTCTCTGCCATTGGAAATGTGTGCTTAAGGAACCCACTTCCTGCTCCTCATTCTCCTGTTCTTTTGCAAGTTCCATGAAGACCTGTCGAGAAGGAAGGAGGACAGATCAGGAATGAAAGCTCAGGCCGCATGCAAAAAGAATGACATCTGTAATATCCTATTTCTTCAAAACATTCAAAGCTGTGGAGGCCAAAGAGGGCAGGATTAAGTCATCATCCACTGAGTATCACACAAATGCTATTTCTGACTAGAATTTAAACCTGCTCTGAAAGCATCATCTACAGGAACTGCACACTATGAAATGAGAGGATAAGCTCATTGAGACAACTTCTTTGTACACCTTATAAAAATATAATGAAACAAAACAGTTCTTTAAAAATAAAAGTTATCATAAAACACACCTGAGATTTAGGCAGAACCAAACCCTGAAGGGTTTTGAACTAATGTTGTTCTGCCCCTTTCGTGAATAAATTAAAAAACAAAGTAACTTTTGGTCACTGTAAGAGATTATTCAGCTCATCAATAGTTCCTTAAATGAAAGAATGCTAAGTAACAACATTCCAATGGACGGTCACATACCTGCTCAAGGGTAGATTGAGAAAAGTTGTACTCCTCAAATTTGAAAGTCTGCTTTGCTGTAAAAAAATAAAAATAAAACACACCATTCAATACAAATGACCTAGCTAGTATTTAAATTATTAAAGGAAAAGAATAATGAAAAACTAGAAGCAGCAGATTGTGTCTATCCTATCTAGATGCTTACCTGTCTCTAACTGTAAAAAAGATTTTGCAAGTGATTTTACATCTTCCATGGGGATCTTGTAAACCATCAGAGTGGCAAAGCTGCAGGGAAAGAGAGACGTGTTATTCAGCTGGTTTTCAAATGGATTGGACAACTTCTTCTAGTTACTAAGGGAGTGCCACTTGGTTCTCTTCTTGGTCCAGCTCTTCTCTCCACATAACATTGCTCAGGTAAGAGCCTGCTCATATCTATCTATATGAGCATATAAACATGCTCTTAAACTAGACCTATTTCAGCATCAATAATGTTTGATTTTCAGTTTAGAGTTAGCTTTCTAAATCATCTTCTACCAAAATCTCATAAAGCAATGCATGCTATTTAATAAAGAATATATTTCAACTGTTCCCTTAGTAATGATCATAAATATTTTACTGTTAATGAGACAAAGTTGGGAGTCTGTCACAGTTTAACTATCTGTGTGAATTGTGAATTTACATCACTCTCCCATAAGGTGCATCACTGATGGGCGTCTATCACACTCATAGTTGTTTCTGTGACTGATTGGCCCTCTCAGTATAGTAGATGAATGTTAAGTTAATGTACGGTACATTACGTTACAGATCTTTAATTGAGAAAACACATTTCAAACACAATAATAAAATGCAGTTCCTTTTACCATACTAGAATTTAAGATGCAGTACTTTTATCAAAGTGAACCCCAGAAGAGAAACCACAGACTTTTGGCACAAATCAATTTAATTTGCACTGCCAAAAAATTAGAACAGTCTGCACAAAGGACTGAAAATGTCCACCTGTGTATCTCAGGGTACGTTCAGTTTTATGATTAAATCTTTCTCTGCCTGAAACTTGCACATACTAACATTACCATATCCCCTTAATGTTATGTATACGTTATTGATTGTCCTTAATGTTCTTCACTTAAGTTTCCAAGTATCAATAGTGTCATCCTCTCAGTCATTGTATTAGGTCATCATGAATACGATTTTTTCTTCATCTGGTAAAAAAGATGACACACATCTCTAGAAGCATTTTTTTCTCCTCACTAATCATGAAGGCAGCAGTCAAAGGACAATAGTGGCCATAAATGATTTCTTCTACATGCTATCACAGTTGCATCCTGGGAGGAATCCCTCACAGGGTCACCTGACATGCAATGCAATATGGGTCACGTTGGTTTCATCATTGAATGCTATTCATTCATCATTGAATGCGAAGTTGTAGGCACTCCCTCCTCCACCAGGACGAGGACAGGCAGACGAACGGATCCTGGTGACCCAAAAGATCACTGACATCACCCAGTGGGTTCTGGTCCAGAAGGCCATGTGTCATCACAAGTGGGCCCTTCGTTACAGCACAGTGTCTTACAGCACAGCCTACCTCTCCTGGCGCGCAGCATGAGGGAAGATCCTCAGGATCGCCTTGTGCAGTAGAGCCACCTGCTGCAGGCCAGTCATCTCTTCTCGGAGCTTCACCTCCAGACTGTACCCCCGGCCATACTTCCCCTTCAGGTGCTGGATTGACCCAATACACCTGCAGGACCCCAGAAAAGAAAAGGCCCTAATGTAGTGCTTTTGGAAAACTTAGCGAATCTCTCATACAAAGACATCTACCCAGTGCAAACCTAGCATCCTGTCAGAACTTCTTGACCAACCCCAGGACAGTGCTAAAGTAATTGATGACAAATGATATGATGTATGTCTAAAAACATAAGGACATAAGAATATTTTATCATGATAACAGGACATTAAGCTGTGCGTCATTTTTCTATACACTGTGTGGTTCTTTCAAACTTGGACTTGGAAGCTCCCTGTGTTTCTGTTCAGACAGTGTCTTGGAAACCCATTCAATTACTGATAAATCAGTGAGAAAAAGTTATTTCTCTATTGGTGCGTAACTGTTTCAAGTTCCCATAAGTACAGTAAGTTCTGCTCATCTATAATGTCATGAATGACACTCTTAAATCCCAATACAATAATAAGAAAACTCACAGTTCACGATAACATTTAGTTACAGTGGTCTTTTTTCTTTTCTATGCTTTCAGGGACAGATTGAATATCACAAGAAGATGTAAAACCCAGCCATGTGCCAGAAACCTGGAAATCAAGACTCCAGAATGGGAATGCCACACACTGCAGGCTTGTTTCTGTATTTCTAAGAACAGGCAGTATTTCTAGTGGCCCTCTTCATGCTGTACTCGGCCCACAGAGCTCACCGCAGCTGTCCTGACACCATGATAGCCACCCGGTCACACACTGCCTCAGCTTCTTCCATATAGTGAGTGGTCAGTATCGCCCCCCGCTGGCGGTTCTTGAAAGCTGTGCGGATAGCTCTCCTGTGGAAAGAACGCTGCTCATACAACCGAAGTGCTCACAAGCATTTTAAATACAAAGGCTCAATAAACGTATAACCTCCTTGCCATCGTTAACTTTTTTTTACCTAGTTGAAACACAGATTTCCTTTGTAGCAAATCTGAAAATTAACACAAAACAGCACATTTGTGCTCAGATGGACTCACCACATCCGCTGTTTGGATTTGGGGTCCATGCCTATAGAGGGTTCATCCAGAAGCACAATCTGGGGGTTTCCAAGCATACACAGGGCAAAGCACAGCTGAAATGAAAGGACAGAATTAATGGGCGTGCTTCTGCTGCACTGAAGAAACTTTCTTCTGCTTACAATGACATAATGAGGTTTAGCCAAGGCTATGAAGGAGGCAGATGGAGCTGAAGTACCAAGACTTTAGAAACTGTATATGATAAAGTTGGTTAGAGCTTATCACTGCAAGGCACTGTGCCCTGAAGAATCCAGTAAACAACTTTGAAGTAATAAGAAAAACCATTAATTCAGGCAATGCAAGAGTTTGTTTTACAGTTCTGATCAGCGTTGACCCACACTCCATGTGAATGCCTACCTTCCGTTTTATTCCGGCGGAGAGATTCTTGGCCTGCTTGTGAAGATGTTCCTTCAGCTCTAGTGCATTCACAACACTACAGAGAAAACATGCTCTTAGCAGAGAATAAGAAAACTGGACAAGCTACTATGAGATGATCTGCTACTTCAGTGTCATCTCCAGCACATGATGAAACAATGCTCTTTTCTGTCCTTATTTGTTGCCATTTTGATCATTCATTGGTTGCATTTATGTTCCTGCCCTTGCCCAATGGAAACGGTTGATATGACAACCTTCCTCTGTTGTATTTGATATTTACTGCAACAGCAACTCCATATAACGGTCAGGATTAAGATCTGAACTCCCTGAAAGTACCTCCAGCGATAACTCCAGCGATGTCCTCTAATCTAGTGCAGTCCTAGTTTGTTTCCAATGTATTCTGATCATGAATGACACCCTCAACACCAAAGGCTTTCATGTTACCGTTTGATGATGCCCGGGATCTCGTGGCAGTGAAGGCCCTTGATGGCAGCGTAGATCTCCAGGTGCTCCTGCAGAGTAATCTTGGGCCAGAGAGGACTGACCTGAGGGCAGTACCCAATGCGCTCCAGGGAGCTTTCCACCTGCCAAAACAATGGCCTGCTGTTAAACCTGCCTGATTGAAAATAATTCCATCACTCTATAATTTTATGTTAAGTAACTGATCAAGGAAAGAGGCCAATAAATAATCAGTAATGATCATCAGCTGTGAATATAATGATATAATATTACAGAATAAGAATAAGACCTGTCCTGCTGTTGGGTCAGTGTCTCCAGCCAGCATGTACATGGTGGTGCTTTTCCCTGCCCCATTAGGCCCCAGCAGGCCCAGGACCTCCCCTGTATACATAGAAATACATTTCCACTCAGGACACTGACCTCTGTGAACAGCTTATGCAAAGCAAATGTGAACAGAAATATGTCAAAATGCCAAAATAATATTCCTTCCTCCATAAAAAGGTAAAAAGAAAGCTATTGCTAAAAAAGAACAGTCACAGTTTACATCTTACCCTCTTCAGATTAATGGTTTTATGCACACACACTAGCCAGCACAGTGCCTGAATGGGGGGAGCAGTACTAAAGGTGAAAGTTTATATGACAAAACATTAGAAATAAAGTAAGAAAGTGTTTAGAAAAGCAAGATAAGGTTGCCAGGTGTGCACTGGCAATTCTACTTCTGTTGCTGTTGGCTTTAAAAAGTACGATACTGTAGCCGAACCCACCTTTGCGAACACAGAAAGAGATGTTTTTGTTTGCCACTTTCTTCTTCTTGGAGTTGAAATAAAAGCCTTCCCTCCGGCCTTTGTATTCTTTTCTCAGGTCGCTCACCACCATCACCGGCTTCTGAAGGACAACCACATGAGAACATGAAAAGTCCCCACAGATGGTGGCTCAGACCAGAACTGAACCCAGGACCCAAGAGTTTTGAGGCAGTCGCTCCAACCTTCACGCTATCCCCTTGTGAGCATACTGTACACCAATTAATCTGATCTTGAAATGTTCATGAGAAGACAGAAGGATAGAAGAAGAAGGCCTGCTTATTCTGGAAACTTAACAACACCAGTCTTCACAGTTCACTATTTTTTTAACAGATTATCAAAAAAGAAGCAGCTCACCATGACAACTTAGAAGCTTCTTATACTTTAAGATGTAACTGAACATTTCACTCCTCTGCTGCTCCAGTGAAAACCCCAACCCCAACAGCAGGGCCACAGAGAAATGAAAAAAAAAACGCACCTCGTCACAGCTCTGACACGTTAGGGCCTCTTTGACTCTCGCTCTCTCAGCCTGGACATCCTCGTCTTCATTCTCCAGCACCTCTGGGTTTGTGTGCACTTTAACCTTTGCTGCGCTGATCCTGCAAAAAAAAATCCCAAACCAGAAAAGGAAGGAAGACATCAAACAAGACTTGTACCTCAAACAGCAATTGGCTGTTATTGTTTTTCCAAATGATGGGGAAAAAAGCAAGAAAGGTGACATGAACAACATGAGGAAACCCTGAAGGGGCGATATTTTATGAGCACAATCAGTGCATTCCTCAGTGACACGTGCACTCAGTGCTGGTACCTGCAGAGTGGGTCATTCTTCATGGTGCTGCCCCCGCAGTGGATCTCCAGCCAGCGCAGCAGGAGCAGCAGGAGGATGACATGCAGGTAGGGCTGAAGAGGAGATCAACATGAGCTTCTCTTCACACACACACTACATCAAGCTGCTTGCTTTCCTCAATCTCCAAAGCCCAGTAGACACTCGATACATCTCTGTCCACAAACTCTAGCTGTTTTAAACCAACCTGTATGCATATAAGAATTTCACATCCTCCTGTTTCTTTTATCATAATGCATTTTAATGCACAGGTGAAACTGGTAAACATACTGTACTAACATGAGGATTCAGTGCCCCATTAATTGTTGGAAAGCAACTGCCTCAACAGACAGAAAGTTGTCTTTTACTGACAATGAACTACCAAATAACTTAAATTCAAACATGAGATATTTTATTAAAAGAACAGTGGGTTAAAGATACATTAAAAATGCAATCCTCACCACCACAACAGCTATGAGAAGGTTCTTCTTCAGAGCAGATACGTCTTCATTGGTGGTTACTTCCAGGAAGGTTTCCTACAAAATTATCATAGAGAGGAGCAATGGATCACTGGAAATCAGACATTACATTAACATTGGTAGTGGTTATACTGTACACAGACTGAGATGCATACATTTGGTAACTGAAAGAACAAAGTACAATGTAGTGCCCACCAAACTGAATGTAGCTTCTCAAAAATGGGAGTTTTTTTCCCCACCAAGAACCAAGCCAGACACATTCCCAAATTTTCATTTCATGCAAAAGCACTACTTTTCTGTTAGGACACTGTCTGTATCTCCTGATTGAGCATTTGGCTCCACTGACTCACCTTGGTAATGCAGTTGAGACAGCCCATCAAGGGGTAGAGGGGGTTAAAGATGCAGAACGTGTTATGCAGCACTGTGGCCAAGGTCTGGTTCTCATTCACATAGGCCAGCTGCACTAGGGAGGCAGACACCACACACACCTAGGGCACAGCACAGGACCAGCTATTAACCAGCAGAAATCATCAAGTCCTTGCCATTAGATCAAAGACCTGCATCCACTTACAAATCTACCTAGAAATAATGAATCACCCATAAACCATCAACTAATCAATCTTTTCTTTAACTGTTAATTCAGCTTAGAACACATTCTCATTTACAATGACAACTTGGAAGAGAGGCTCATTCTAGAGCAACAGAAAAGACACAACACTTGTCACAGAATAAAATATAAAGTTAGAAAATAGTTAAAACATCTACAACACAAATTTAAAAAGTGTATCCCATTTATTAATCTGATTGTTCATTAAATCAACTACATACTCAAAGAAAACTTAAAAAAAACCTCAAACACAAGCATAGACACAAGCATAGACACAGCCATAAGGCATGGAGGAACAGCACCACCCTATGACTGTAGGTAAGAAGTCACGTAATGAACACTGGCACTCACCATCATTGACACAACAGAAAAGAAATCCCGATTGCTCTGAACTCGAGTGAACAGGAAAGAAACCATGTAGGTGAAGAGGATCATGGATGGACCATAGCCAATTAGACATAAAACCTGGAAGATGGAAAGGGAGGGAGTCAAACTGAAGTTATTTTATGAAAAAATCCTGAATCTATATGCAAAAAGATACATTAAGCATTACAGCGCTTAAAATTAAAGTCAGAGAGCTGTAGAAACAGAGCTACATTCCACACATTTCTGCCTCTTAGGGACCTTTCACTTTTGGTCTTAGAAGGTAGCACAGGAGAAACGTGACCCAGGTTCAACAAAAGTGACACTCTACTGGTGTGAACTGAAATGCACAAAGAACAACACAGCTGTCTCCATTTCCCTTGAAGACCGTAATCTAACCTACAGAAGCCACCTATTCCCCCATGCAGACGTAAACTGTCATGGACTGACCACTGGGGCGACAGCTTTGGACTGCAGCAGGTCTGTGGAGTGGAAGGCGAACAGTGTGCTGGTCATGCTGGTAAGGATGAGGTAGTAAAAGGGAATATCAATGACCGCCTGGCCACACCAGTATGCAGAAGGCAACAGGCCAGAGACACGCAGCTTGGAGCGGCACTTAATCTGTAGAGGGGGAGAAAAAATAATATGAGATATCATAGAAAGGAATGTGATGTAAAACTACAGGCAACAACAAACTATTGCTCACTGTGTACAGTCAGATAGGCCCTTATGATAAAATATCTATAGTTTTCCATCTTTGGATACAATCAAATTACATAACGTTCATACAATGGCTGTGCAGACCTTCCTGGGTTCCAATGGTTACTCTAAAGCACAAGTGGACAATCCTGGCTCTAGAGGGCCTGTGTGCCTGCAGATATTCATCTTTTAACAGGATGAAGATGAATACTAAAGCAGCTGAGCAATGGTCTAATGGGACCAACTGAACAGCTTCACCCAGTCTGTCAGCAGCTGCTGCTGCTGCTTTGAAGAGACCTAGAAAACCTGCAGACATGCTGGCCCTGCAGGACCAGTATTGCCCACTTCTGCTCTAAAGAGTCTTTCTTTTGAAAATGATGATAGGCAGGCACTCTTACCTCACGATCCCTTGTGTTATCCATAGCAAAGTAAGCTGGCATTCCTGCTCCCAGCATTCCCAGCAAAACAGCCTCAATGTAAATAAGAGCATAAGATAGCGTCTCTGGCATTTTCTGATAAAAGAAGGAGGAACAAATTTCAGAAAAGTTCTTTTGCTTTCCTTAAGATTTTATATAGATAGCAGTTAAAGAAGATGTTCACATATATTTATCAAAATGAAGTATTGACAACTTAAAAAGCAATTTGAGACAAAGTTTTTGCCAACTTTACAACTTTTCTACCCATTTAGTTTTCCACTTCAGTCAAAGAACTTTATTATTACTCACAAAGTCAAAGGGTTTTGTCCAGGTACAAATTTTACTGGTGTTATCAAAAGCCCGCAGAAGAGCATTGCTCAGGATGTTGACCACGATGGGCAAGGAGTGAACATTTGTGCTGTTAAACACTGCAGTGTACTCATAGCCCTGGGGAAAACAGAATCACACATTAACTGCTCAGAAACCCCAACAGCTAAAGCATCACATTTTTTGCAGTATCTAGTCCAATACAAACATTTGGTCATCAACAGCAATTTTCAGTGCTATGGAACTTTAAGTGACATTGACTGGTGATTACCTACTCCTAGCTGTAACAAAGTTTGCTGTAAAATAGATTTCTGTGTCTTGATTTACCATGGAAGATTAAACAAGCATAATAACAGATGGTGTGTGTTTACCTTGCGGGAGCCAGTTACATTGATTCCAGCACTGTGCGGAGCAGCAGCTGTTAAGTTCCCGTCTTTCATCAACTCCACTTTAATGTCCTGAGCTTCTAAGTTGTGGACAAAACCTCCTATATCGGAGTCTGTCCAAGGGACAACAACAAAACAGGATAAGCTCCTGCAATCAGCATACCATTACTAATTCAAACATATCAATATCTTTCTGACTCCTGGGCATAGATACATAGATTAATTTGAGGTCCTGGATTAAAAAAACATCTAAAAAACTTTCAATTAAGACCCCTACGACCTTAAGATAAAAGAGCCCTAACAAGAAGTCCATGCTTCACTAAACAAGCCCCAGATGATGTTTGAAATGAATCATGTGACCTAGACAAGCAGAGTTATGAAACTGAAACAGGGGCCTCATTCAACAAAAAACTATCTGCCTGACTGCTCTCTGAAGGCTTCTATTGAGCGGATCCTTAGTGAGGCACGAGACTGGCCTCACGAAGGACGCAGATAAAAATAAAATCAGAGGAGAAACATAAATAACTCTAATGCAGGAAAACAATTTCATTACAGCTTCAGATTATTCTCTGCCCCCCCTCCCTCCTCACCAGTGGTGTTCTGGACCAGCAGGCTGGTGGTGTACTTCCGGGGGGCTTGGTTCGGCCGCAGCAGATAGACATCTGGAGAGAGCAGGCGAGGCACAGCGTTGATCTGGATATTCCCAGTGATCAGGGACAGGGTCAGCACTGAGGCCAGAAAGATCCCAAAAAGAGCAAGGCTGCAGCAGGAAAGGCGACACAGTGTTGAAACCGGAGGTGAAGCATAAGAACAGTCACCTGGACTAGCAGACTACATCATGTACATGAACAAGGAGGAGGTGTTTAAGAAAGCACCATTGCAGAGTGACAGTGTTGTTTCAAAACCAAAAGAAGAACACATACTGGGATGAACCCACTCTTCTTCGGGTGGGTTTAGAACTTGAAGGATTTAACAGCGTTTTAAAACTGAATTAAAAAGTGGTTAAAGCTACTGGCAAGTTAGCCTACTGTCATCATCCCAGACGGAAGGGGGCGGACTCTCACATGTAAATGATGGGTTTTTTCTCCCTCTGCAGATTGAGGACGTGCAGCCGGACGATGGTGCAGAACTGCTGCTTCCACAGCGTGTGGCCGGACAGCTCCTCGGGCCGGCCGTCGGAGAAGGTGAGGAGCCTCTGGTCTGCGTCGTCCAGGGAGGACGCGTCCCCTTCCTCCTCCACCTGCTCCTGGCTAAACACGCTGTAATCTGGTGGCACAGAAGAAAAGAGACCATCAACTTCCACCTTCAGGCGCAGGAAATGTGCTCATTAGACAGCAAATGAAATGCACAGCTGAGCTCAGGCCCAGCTGGCAACAGCTCAGACCTGCTTGATCCACCTCTGCCTCAGCCTCCAGTTTCAGGAAAACATCCTCCAGGGTCGTCATGGAAACCCCGTAGTTAATTATTCCCAAAGTGGGGTGGCTGTCCAGCTCGGAGAACAGGCCTAGTGGTGAAAAGAGGCAGTGAGATGAAAGCAGCAAGGGTGGGTCTGCTACAAACTCACTGTCACTGAGGGGTCATCCCTTGAGGAGGTATGTCAAAAGTACGGTTTATCAGGGGAAATTTACATCCAAGTCTTGCTCTGCTCTGGCACCTAAAACTGACCCCCCACTTTCATGCCTGCAAATCTGCATCTGACATAATGTGTAGAAAACAGGAATAGTCAAGCTATGGCTTGAGTTGCACTTTTAGAATCTGCTGTAAAAAATACACTGGGCAAAGCAATGAGAATAAAAGTGATGCAAAGTAACTATGTGAAATTCACATGAAGTACTCCTTTGGTCCAGGTAATAGCTATCAGCACAGGTCATCACCTTTAAATCTCCAGTCTTTCCCCCTGTGAGCTGAGCAACAGAATCGTGGGAGCCCTGACCTGAGAATGTGTTCATGTTCTCAAAGGGGAGGGTGTAGGTCAGCTCTGCCTCCTGTTGCCGTGACAACTGTGCTTTGGGAACATGTTGCTTGACCAATAGGGTGACTTGATCGGCTTCACATGACTCGTTCACTGACATCCTAGACAGAGAAGGGGTGAGCGCGATCACATTACACTCTGCTTCTCTCCCACAGTTACTGGTACTGCATATAATGTTTTCTTGAACAATCTGCAAAAATATCAATATTGCCCCTAAGGATGGAAATTCAGGACTCAAAAGAAGGTCATTTCTTCGTAGGCTAACCTATAATTTACAATATGTTTTATTCAACAACCTAGTCAAGATGAGTCAGTCGCATGCTCCCTAACTAAAACATCAAAAGAGCAGTATTACTGAAAGTACTGAAAGTGGGCGAGTTATTTGTACACACCACTAGGAAGAAAAAAGCACTTAGAGAAGCTCATTATGATCAAGCTGTGTGTGGTCAAGCCTGTTGCTGGTGTTGAAGTACCTGAGGTGATAGCCGACCCCACATTTGGTTTTGAGGTACAGAGAGGACCCCACACACTTCAGATGCCCGTGCGAAATCACAGCTTTGCGGTCTGTAGAAACAGCAAAAAAAGAGAGAAAGGAAAAATGAGAAATTACATCTTTAGTTTAATTGGAACTTTTAAAAGAAGGTATGCTTCAGAACATCCTTCTCTCTAAGACAAGTAAGAAAAAAAACTCTTAGGAAAGCTTGAGTTTGTAAAATTTTAGAAATAAAGCATGATCTCACCACATCTTTCTACACAAGACATTCATTCACACCACCAGGGAATGACATTTTCTAATAGAATATTACTTGCCAACAAGAAATCTGTCTTTCTGTGCTGGAAGCTTTGAATATGTTCCTGCGTGGTTCAGTACCTGCTAAGATGTCGGCCTCATCCATGTAGTGTGTGCTTAGCACAGTGACCCGCCCTGCCTGCCGGCTCTTCAACAGAGACCAGACCTGGTGCCGAGAGCAGGGGTCCATTCCAGCTGTGGGCTCGTCCAGCAGCAGAATCTGTTGCACACATATGGCATGGACCGAGTGAGCCAGGGGAATAAAGAGAATTCCACAGACTAGAGGGATTAACCTTTAAAACAGCTGCAATGAATGTGAGTTTTCATGATTAAAAAGTCATGGGAATGCACAAAAGACAACGATTCACCCGGAGGAAATAGCCCTTCAGAAATGTGTTAGATTTTGCCCCTAAGTGCACAGAAAATAATCTAATAAGCTAATAAACAGTAAAATCAATGCATAACGCATAACCGCCCCCCCCCCGCAGCCAATCAATTTCACTGCTCCCAGCAGAGTGAAACCTGATAAAGCTTACACAGATCTACTGCAAAGAACCAGAGGAGGTGAGGCAGACACACAGAGGAAAAGAGAGCAACAGGAGAGATAATGACCAGGATGAGATCTAGAGACGCTGATGGCTGATAGAACTTAGGCTCCCACAGCCTGTTTTACCACTCTGACAAGCCAACCTTTGGGTCCCCCAAGACAGCGATGCCCACACACATCTTCCTCTTCTGACCACCACTTAGGTTCTTAGCCTGGGCGTCCATGATCTTCTCCAGGTCCAGGTCCTTCAGCACCTTGGCCACCTGTGGGAGGACATAGACGAGTGGATTGAGCTCGACCTGCTGCAATAAAAGATCTGTACAGACGGTCTTTCACCTACAGGGCCACCCCCTACATTAACCTGTTGCGACTCACTAACCTGTCCAGTGAAATATCAAATGGAATCCTAAAACAAAGGCTCAAGTTGTGCTGCAGCTCATATCCAAACCTACATTTCAGTGACCCTCAGTGTAATCCATTTAAATTCAGTGACAGACTAAGAAAGGAAAGCTGACTGGCATACTCCTTCTGGACTCCTTGGAGATATGTTAGGACATGTTATAAAGGAATCTTTCTGTAGTTATTCACTAATTATCTTCAAAACTGAATGATTAAACAAACAAAAACCAGTCTCTCTCATCCTGTTTGCCCAGAGGACCTGTGAAAAGGCTGACTGCCTGTCTCATGCGGACTCTGACCTCCTGGTCGATCTGAGCTGGCGGGATGCCCTTGATGGCAGCGAAGATGTGCAGGTGCTCCTCCACGGTCAGCACATCGAACATGATGTTGAACTGTGGGCAGATGCCCACCAGCTGCCGCATCTCCAGCTCCTGCGTGATCTCCGACACCGGCGAGCCATAGATCGTGGCCGATCCTTGGAAGAAAAGGAAGCAAGGCCAAGTCTGACTGATGCTATTAATGTTTAAAATAAATACCCCCTGTCCTTATTCGCAGGGAACATGCATGACAGAAAATACAGAACTGCACACTTTTCTTTTATATAAAGAGAATATTGTAAAAATGAACATTATATACCCTTGCAGTTACTGAGCGCAGTCATCTTCAGGAAGACGTGATAAGACTACAGCAATGAACAGGACTAAACGTGATGCTGTGTTGATGGGTGCTGTTGAAGCTCTAGTGTCACTAAAGTGATACTTACCTCCTGGCATGGCTAGAAGGATTTGAACAAAAATGCCAACAGAAGGACTGTGTGCGACCAACGCAGATGAATAAAGAACTGGGAAGAGATCTACAGTAACTGGTAACGTCGGAAAAAAAACATTTTGATTTGAACCTTGGAGACAGTCTGAAAAGGGTCAGGATTCTAAATATTCTAAAAGTTTTAAGAACTTCTCTCAGGCTAGATCTGTCCTGACACCACAAGTGTGTAAAACTGCAGATAAGGAGGAAGGGGTGTATTGCAGTCTGCACGATTGGAATACTACCTAAAATTTGCCAATGTTTAAAATCTAAAGCTACGGGGCAGGAGCACCTTCCTGTCTCTCTCACCTTCAGTGGGAGGACAGATCCCACAAAGAATATTCATCAGCGTGGATTTCCCTGCTCCACTGTGCCCCAGGAGAGCCGTGATTTGGCCCTCATAGATGTCAAAAGTCAGACCTAAATAGTAAAAGAAAGATAAAAATATTTACGTTTTTCAAATCATTTTGTTTTAAATTACTTATACCCACTTTACTGAATATCCATATGGTGATTACTGGTGCAGTGACCGGAGAAAGGCTTCAAATCACAACGCCCCTTAAATCCCAGCAAAGCATTTTCTCTTTGGAAGCAAATTGAAAGGAATATGTTATTGAAGTGATGGTGAGTTATGAAGACCAGAACAATAAAGGAAAACACTTTGTTGTGAGACTGCTATTAACCTCAAAGAGTCAAGCACCTTAGAGCTAGTCAACTTTCCCACAGTACCTCTCAGTGCCTCCACGTTGCTGTCCTTTTCCTTGTAAACCTTCCGGATATTGTTTATTCTGGCAGAAAAGGGAAACAAACCGATGATTTGTACCATCTCTGCAGCCACCCTTGCCTACCTAGCAGGAGCAACTGTACTAAATACATTGTAAATGCAGGCATGCTCTTGGTTTTCAGAGCAAAAAATAAATAAAATAAACTTTGATAGCAAAAAAAGGTCACACTTCAGGAAAGATTGTTATTTATTAAAATCTGTCAAATTAAAGATATGCTATAAAAGATGTACAATGCCTATTTTCAGACTATACTTTGGCTCAGTGTTCTGCATTTCAGGATAAAAGCAGACCAGCCATCATCATGGAACAGTAAAGCTCCAAATGGCTTTTACCTGATGGCCTCTTTCCCCCTGAACTCTGGAGAGACAGGCTCCACCGACTCCAGAGAAGTAGGGCCACCGTTAACCTCGCTCTCGTACAAAGAGCTCACTTCTTCGTATCGCTTGCCGCGTCTTGACCAATAGGAAGGCCTCAGAAAGTACAAAAAGGACCGCCGCTGCCCAAACTCGCCTGTGCAGAGAGAGATTCTGTGTGAGAGACTTTTGTCTCCTGTACCTTGTGCTTTTTTTCTGATAACCACACCCTGGATTATTTATTGTTCATTTGCAACAGAATATTTACTGTTAAATCCATTTGTTGGTGTCTGTTTTTTTTTTAAATAAAAATTGCATTCCTGTGGAATACTGTGGCTAATTGAAAAATTCTAATAAAAACATGGAAGGATGGGAAATCATGGAGGGTAGCTCATCTGTTAATTTAAGACAGACTGCAGTTAGATAAGCTACAGCAACTGAACAGAATGTTAGGGGATCTTCTGCTCTGAGAGACAGCAGCACCGCACTGACCTGGCAGGACCTGGTCCAGGTATAGAGCCAACAGCAGATAGATGAAGCTGTCCAGGACCAGCATGAGCACAGGTACAAAGAGTGGGTGGGGCCCGCTGGTCAGGGTAGAGAACACTGCGCCATCACCAACAGCTTCCAGATATACCACCTGGTGCACAACACAGAGCCTTTACCAGAATCCTCACTGCACAACTCATTTCCATGGAATGGAAAGCTTGAAATGCAACAAATACATGGACTCTGAGACTCTATAAATGCAGTAATAATGTGCAATTAAAGTCAGTAATATGTAATTATAAATGAATTATTGAGTACAGTATTAATAACAGTGTATTAGATAGTCGTGTACTAGACGTGTCCTGTGTTTTCTTTGAACATTACTCAAGACTTTTACAGTCTAACTGTTGGAAGCCATGTTAGTGGAAGTTGCACTCACAGCTTTTTTGTCCTGATGATCATAGAGATTTTAATATAACCAAAGCATTAGCCTCAAAATAAAAAGGCTGCTGACAATGTAATACAAAGCTCCTACACTGCCACACTTAATGACTGAAGATTGATATTTGGAGATCCTGTAATACAGAAATATTCAATCTGTATTTTGTTAACAAGATTGAATTTAAATTCAATTTTAAATTTTAAATTAAATACTGTTAAAATACTGTGTATTTCAATGGAGACTTTCATAGTGGACCCAAGCAGCATTTCTTTTGTGGTCCTGTTTAAATCAATCTGATGAACACGCTGCAAGCAATACCTGAGCAATGCCAATGGAGAAGGCACTAGGAGACAATAGGCACAGCATCCAGACCAGAGGCTGTGGAAAGTCTTTCATCAGCACAGTGAAGAGGGACAAACATCCAAACATCACAGTGAGCATGGATCCCACAGTGCTGGCAAACTTCGGTTTCTTAAATAAAGGAGTCAGCATGAAGGAGAAGAATATCTAGGGACAAAAAAAAGGATTATATAATCCGACTTGCATCAGGCACTTCTTGCTGCTCCACAACTAAATATTAATAATGTAATGTGATAATGTAATGATAATGATAATAATGATAATGTTTCTTTATTAGCCCTATACAATTTCTTGCATTAGGAATTCATCTTTTCGCATACCCCAGCTTTTCTCCGAGGAGACACAGGCACACAGACAGGAAGAGAAGCTTGGGGTCAGAGCACAGGGTTTGCCATTGTACGGCGCCCCTGGAGCAGTTGGGGTTAAGGGCCTTGCTCAGGGGCCCAACGGAGTAGGATTCCTCTGCCGGCCGCGGGATTTGAACCGGCAACCTTCCAGCCACAGGCGCAGATCCTCAGCTTACAGAGCCACCGCTCCGCCGTTAAATATTACCAGCATGCAGTACTTTATGGGAAATGACAAGCATTTCTCCTTGTTTTGCTAAGTGCTCAAAAATCATCTACAGACGATGAGATGATTACTCACAGAAGAGATTCCATAGAGGAAGATGAGCAGAAAGATGACAAAGAAGCTGCTTTTGGGGAAGAGAGAGGTGCAAGTGGCAATCACAGCCATCAGGATGGACATGGTGGTGACCAGACCTGCATACAGTAACCCCCAAGACAACCTGCAAAAAAACAAGAACAAGTAGAGACATTATAATTCCTGCTGTGACACTGAAACAGTCATCATGTCATTACTATATGTCCCAAATCATGGTACGGACTCCCACCCGCTAACAGCAATGAGATGTATACTTGTTCCATACTTCCAAAACCTTTTACTCAGCTATGTGGTTGAAATCGATTTGGGTTTTTTAAAAAAAGGCTGGATGAGATTCTCAGATCAACTAACTACTAACTACCCAATGGGCTAAATGGCCCCGTCTAGTTTGTTACCTTTCTTTTGACTCATTATAGATGTGTTACAATCCTACAAACCTCAAACCAATAGTGATTTTACTAAGTCATGAAATCAAAGAGCATCAAATAATGTTTTTAGGGAGCATTAGAATGTGATATCTGCAGACCCAAATGCATATAAAAAAGTATACAGTATACTACAAGCTTTTCTTCACATGCCTGTAGACACTACAGTTTTCTTCTCATACAGGATGAAGCCACGTATAAACAACATCTCATCAGGGACAAAATTATCCTTGAAAGTCTAGAAGCCCTAAAACAGGTGCAGGTACGAAGGCATTTAAAAAAAATAGTAGCATAACATATCCAGAATCAAATAAATTTAAAAGCAGTAAAAAAATCCAAAGTTACTGATTATCTATACGGCAATTCTTGCTGTATTTCAAGACTGATTGAACGTTCTGGAGTGAAGACTCACCAGAAAGCACTGTCTCGGAGCCCCATCATGGCCATGGTGTCTTTCAGCCGGTGCTCCTTCTCCGCGGCCATGTTGACGATGAGGAAGGAGACGAAGGGCGTGAAGGCCAGCACCAGGTAAATGGAGATGAGGGCATGAGGAAACTTCTGCACCTCAACAGACCCGGGCTGGCCCATCATCACAACTCGGAGGCTGCTCATCTCCTCCTGTACCGAGTGCTGAGTCTTAGCCTGCCGACAGAGGCGCGGTGATGGAACAGGGTAACCAAGACACACTGCTGAAGCATCACCACTCTTCACAGTCCTACACAGCCCTAAGAAATGACTACCGCCGCAAACCCATATGGCAGATTTGCAGACCCCACCATGATCTTACTATGTACATCTTAATGGATTCTGCTTTTGTTTCCAACCATTTCAAGAAGCTGCATGCTTCATCATGCACTTAGTCATAATTTCACTGGCCTTTCTGAAGGATGATTTCAGAAAACACCTTTATATAGGTCTGCGTATTGTGAATGCAGAGGACATTGTGTGTTTTACAAGAAACACTGCAAATGCAGTACATCTTTAAAATGTTCTTGGAAATGCTCTTAGAGTAGGTAGCTGTGTCAACATGCTTTGGCTGCAAAGGAGCCAAATGGTGAAGGTGAAGGCTCATCAGGTGAAGAAGGCTCCACAGCTGAATCATTGTGTTTCTCTCCTTTATCTTTCAGCATGGAATGAACCTTTACCTGTTCCTTTGAAATGCTATTTTAAGTCTACATTCTTCAACTTTACTTTTTACTTTTCATGATACCGTACATGTAAAGGAAAATATCCATGATAAGCCCATGAGTGTCAGACCACTTCTCACCCGTATGATGGCTGTGTTGATGAAAGTCTGGAGATCAACAAACCCCGAGTACCAGTAGTTAGCGGCCCTGCATGACGTGAGGCTGGGGAAACAGCTGGCTGCAAAAGATAAACACTTCTTCAGCTGCAGTTCTGTTCCCTAGGGAACCCTAAACCCTCACTCCACCCTTCACCACATCCCAGGAAGAGCTGCTGCAAAACATTTCACATTCAATGTCACCATGTAATGCTAACTTTTATCCTGATCGCTACCACTTCTGTATTACTGTGGTCACCATGGAATGGTATTTCTGCCCTGAGATCAGTTAAAAATAAATAAATTCCTGATCTTAAAGGAATACCCTGCACTGACAGGCTAAAACAGCTGAACCTTTTTTGGTCTTAAACAAAGATGACTGTGAGAAGACTTCAGTGACATTGGCATTGACATATTCAACCCAGTGGACTTGGGTTGAGAGAGAGACAGACACAGAGACACACAGATGGACGAGAGACGAGAGACGGGACCCGAGAAGAAGGAGCTCCAGTCCACTTCGCTTGCTTGCTCGCTTGCTTGCTCGCTGTTGACTCTCAGAGTCAACAGTGAAATACAAACTAGAGGACACAAGTGGAATACATGTGGAAGTGCATTACAAAATGAGAACATGAGGCACATGTTTAGGCAGAGTGCTGGTGGGAGTGTGGACAAGCCACCCAGCTCTGTTGTCAAAGCTAGAACCCTGGCTTCTGTAAAAAAAAGCCTGGATTAGAGGCTTAAGGTAGACCCATATGTCCGTCCATTCACTTAAAAGAAGCTGCTCATCTTGGCAAAGGCTGCAGCAGACTGAAGCTTTTCCCACAAACATGGGACCCAATACCGGGCTAAGAGTACACAACGGCTGTACTTCTTGGACACCAGCCAATTGCAGGGCCATGGAAAAAGTGACAGTGACCTTCTGCACTTTTAAACTTTATAAGGCCAAATAAGAAATTCAATAGATGGATCTTCCAAAATGCACTCTAAAATCCCACACCTATAGCCAGATTTTACATCACACCTGCACAGACTGAAAAAGGATCTTTGCATTCGCCATAGCTGCCTTGAATGGTCAGGTATATATTCAGCCATCCATTTCCTAACCGCTTCTACCAGTCCGAGTCACGGGAGAACTGGAGACCATCTCAGGAAGCAACGGGTGCAAGGCAGAGTACACCCTGGACAAGAAGCCAGTCTGTTGCAGAGCACACACAGACACAGGCATGCACACACACTCCCAACAGAGCCAGGTTTCCCAGAAGCCTACCCGTATGTTTTTGGTTTGCGGGAGGAAACCGGATAATCTGGTGGAAACCCACATGAACATGGGGACAATATACAAACACCACACAGACATGCACCCCAGGTCCAGAATTAACTGCAGCACTTCAATATTGCTGCCCTACACTGTGATGGAGCAATACCAGTCAAGTGGGTCACTCGGTTTTCAACACAGACTAGAAGGAGAGCAATACTTTTAGAGACCCATTTTGGGGTTGCAGTCTCTTAAATTCCTTTTGGGAAATACTTCTTTACCAGTGCCCTCATTTACTTCCTCAGCTTTACGGCATCATGTGAAGTTAGTACAATTCCAGTTCAGGTCCTTGTGAAAGGCAGCTACTATGCAATGGGGAATAAGTACATACAGCACAAATGATTCCACAAAAGAAAGCAAACTGTGCTGTAGAATTCAGAGTTCACTGGGCGGCACATCTGTACCTACTGGGAGACCTACCAATGGAGTCTGTGTAGTCACTGGGCATAGGCAGCTGGTTATAGGGGAAGCGCAGCTGATAGGACATTTCATCCACAAAGACCACGCCCACGTAGTTGTAGGGATCATACCGGCTGGCATTCTCCAGAGCAGCCTCAGTGTCAAACATCTCCATACCTGCAAAGAAACACATACAGCACCACTACTCAGACTGTTCATTCCAAATGTTTTTAAGCAATGCTGAAAAACTCCATAAGAAAACACAGACCAGGAGAAGCCACAATTCAGGGGATACAGTTTCACCTGTATAGTTCCAAACAACAAGACACTACCCACAACAGCCAGTCAAGGCCAGTCACTCACCCATGCGGAGGTTGCTTTCTACCTCCTCCATGATCTGAATGGTGTAGTTGGTGATGGGCGTGTACCCCACAGTCTTCTCCTGCAGGTAGGCATCGTGCTTCAGCTCCGTAGTGCCAATGCCCTCATACGTGATGTGAGGGTTTAGCGTGCTGATCAGAATCAACAAACCCAGGAGCAGCAGCGGCAGGATCAGCTCCTGCAAGAGGAGAAAGAGACGATCTTTCGAAAATGACGAACACTAAAATAGCACCCACAAAAAACACAGAGGCAGCATTGTAAAACAAAATCCAACTCCGTACAGAAATGTAAAGCAATGCTCATGTACCAGGAAGGATATGCCTCCAAAACATTGTTTATAAAGTTGTTATGACCAATACAATAATATTAACACAACACTACTGATTTGAGACACATAATGACTAGGTTCTATAAAACATTCCCAAGTAGCATGCTTGTTCCAGAAACATATGCACAATCCAAAACACTTAGGTTTTTATAATATGGCCTCATCAATATGTCTGAAAGGCAACCAAAGTCCAATGTTTAAACCTTGCTCTAACATGCACAACAACAACTTTCCAGCAAGATCTGGAGATGCTGTGAATGGCACACAGTCCTCTTTTTAAAAAAAAAAAACTTTTTAGAATACATGTTCAACAACAATTGACAAAACAGTATCTGAAGAGCCTTTATTTCTGAAGCAGTCCCCAAGTCTTTGATGTAGCCTTTATTTAAATACAGACAGAATATATCAGACAGCATTAAATGCTAGCAATTGAGGCAGGAGCGTTAATCAGACTTATTTGAACATCTAGTTCTTTAACTTGTACTAAGTTATAAAACACCACACCCTGGGAAAGAACAAATAGTGAAACCTATTAAAATGCACAAGAGCTATATAAAGAGCTATAAAAATAATAAAAACTCTCTAAACTGTCTTCCATAATCTTAGTTACCTAAGCCTACAGTATATCTGGAGCTGGAGCAGCCTTTCAAAGGATCATTCAGTGTCAATTAAACCACAAGATTTTGTAAATATCACAGTGCATCTTAGATTTGGATGAAAGTCAGCTCAACATTAGAAAACACTATTTTATGAGAAAACCTGAAATTTGACTGGTCAGCTTCTAATATTTCATTAGATACAAGTGTGTATGCTTAGAAGAGATACCCGTTCCTTTTCAGTTCAGAAAAAACACAAGCAAAACTACTGAAACAAGATCCTTTCAAACAAGTGTGATTCAGCCACTAAAATTCACGCCCAGACAAAAGTTAGACACAGAAACTAAAAATAACATCAACAGAATTTTAAAAAAAAATCATGGTTAAGTAAAGGCTCAGTGATTCACCAAGGCATTTGTTTTATGTGGCAGATGGATAACAACACCGGAAATGGCGAAAGGAGTATTGAGACACGTCTCTTACAAAAGCACGACAGCTCAGTGATCTGAAATAATCCTGGTTCACAGAGGGTTTACACCAGAAATTAAATAACAGTGAACTTTAATTTACACATCACCTTTAAAATGAGTCATGGCAAGGTATTTTTAAGATGGATAAAAAGTACTTTACACAAATCTCTAATAGAAAACAAAGGCACAGAAGATAGGAATAGCATCTTATAATTCTGGAAAAGCAGCCTTTTAGGGTAGACCTAAAGGCACCCAATGTGACAGCTCCCAGTTTCTTTTGGGATGGCGTCTCGGAACTCTGGGAAACAGCCACACAATGGCCTGTCACCTTGTCACATAATACAGAGGAAGAGCGGGTTGGTAAGCCAAGATCAGTGGAGCGCACGTCAGGGATTGAACCCGACAGCGGATCAGAATCACTTGAACAGCACCTGCAGGCTCTGTTGCTTGGTGCGCCACTTGATCAGCACGTTCTTGTGCAGCAGGCTCTTCGTCTGCTGCCAGACGCGGGCATCTCTCCCTTTTACGGGCAACATTTTTCTCGCATTCTCTCACTGGCAAAACGGGCAAGGAGTCGCGCTCACACTCGGCCCAGCTGCAAGAAGAAGGAAAAAAGGGGGAAAGAGTGAAGAGGAAAAAGAATTACACATACTTGAGCCGCTGCATGTTATATCTCCGTTGCCTGAACTTCAACACTGTGGCATGGGTGTAGCTTTCAATACTTCCCAGCAAAAAAAAAAAACAAAGGCACGAATATAAAAATCCGTGCTGTAAAAATGTCATTGAATACAAAACGTACCATTCGTGGTTTTAAACCCGCCATCGCCTGTTATTAAAACAGGGCTCAGAACCACTGTAGCTGTAGTGCTAGAAACTAGTACTAGAAACGACAAGAAGTACCAATATGAGCTGGATTCTAGTGTATTGTGCACCTCGACCCAGGAGAAACTACATTCCTTTCTCTCTTGTACATCTGCATAAGTGCAGAATGTCAATAAAGTGAACTGAACTGATCAGAAAACAAAAACCGTCCTCATAAATGATACACCTATAATGCACGTGGGACACAGCGAGCCTCAAAGGTCACCCTAGCAAGACAGCTGTAACTTCTATCTCAAATTTGCCATTTATGGTTTGCTAGTGTGTTAAGTAAATGCAGCGCCATTGTACACAAAACAGCACCGGAATAAAATGTGTTTCGCGAAGTGCGCAAAGAAAGAAATTAATTGTTAAGACAAGCTTAGGGCAGAGTTTTGTTCGCAAAGGAAACAAAATTTGTACTAGTATATAGACTGACGGCATACTGTTTATCTGTCAGATAATAATGGTATCAAACCCAAGTGTAAAAATCAGAAAGATAAACTTACGGTCTAGTTATCCTTGATTAACCAGCAAACAACGAAAGGATGGGCCCAACTCAATCCTCAAACTAAAAAAATATTCGATCCTCCTCTTTTAAAAACAAAGTAAAATTCCGAGGAAATTGCAACGTTAAAAATGTAAGATGAGATCGAATATCCTCTGTTTGGGAAACCTTTCAGAATAAGTCCGATTGCGTCGGAAGGAAGCTGAAAAGTAAAGTTTGCATCAGACACCAGCGGTTCGGGACAACGATATGTTCAAACACGCAAGTAAAAAAAAAAAAATAGCGCAAATTCCCGTCAAACTGGTATACCAACAAAACAAGGCAAATATTCGTAATATATATTATCACAGTAAAACATTTTGCTAGCTACAAGGAGTGAACAGGACTATGAACTCGATACACATTACTTCACACAGAAAAAGTGAATTGTGTTCTATCTATAAAAATTGGTTTAGTCAATAGTTGGGAAAAAGCGGCGATGTACAGTATGACATTTTGGTTATTTTAATGTAAACAAATTAGACTCAACCCAACACTCTCCAGGCTGCACTTTACTTCCGCCTCTGCCATCGTCAGAGATCCTCGCTCCGGCCAATCGCTGGTCACCAAACTCTTCTGGAGAACCTGATTGGTCGGTACAGGCTGCTGTCAGCCAATAGCTTTACTGGGAAGGGGCTGCTGGGAACTAGGGGAGGTCTTTCTGCAGCAGGTTTCTCAACCCCCTTTGAAAAGGTTTTGTGAAGAAGTCTATTTCAATGAACAAGGATTCGCAAATCAAGTGGAAATCAACAATTATTATAGGTGACGCCACGATACATGATAAAATATTAGCATCTCTACAGCTGCCAGAACGGGGCCACCATTAGAGAAAGTCGTTTTTACACATATTGCCAGACCGGGTGTGGTTAACGGACGTGTCACTGTGTTTCTATGGACACCCTAAACCATGTCTTGTCCAGCTCATGTACTGGAGGGCCTAGTGTCATAGGGGTTTCTGTCCAGCTGCGTTTGTCAATTAAACAATTAGATTCCTTAGTTAATCACAATGATCAGAAAGGATTTTTTCCTATGATTTTTACAGTTTGGTGAAAGATATGCATTATGAAAAGTACAGTTACCTATTTGGCATTTATGTAATAAATTAAAGTAGACCCATTTTGTAACAGAGAGCTCAGTTATAACAAATAAAAGAAGAAACGAGTTTAACACCCCTACTCTAACCAGTCTGAGCAACACCAGGTGTCACCTGAGCACTGATGTTAAACCTCTCTTCTACAGTATTTGCAAAATTCAGTGATTAAACCTTTTTTTTTGCTTTAGTTGTATAAATCACAGCAAACAAAAACATGTCATGGTTAAGAAGAAGATGTTTTGTTATTGCTTTCAAGCAAGGTTAAAGCATTTCTTAAGAACCATTTTCTTAAGAATCCTTTATTTGACTGACGCTCTTATCCAAAGTAACCTACATTTTCATCCATGTGTACAGCTGTTTTTTTTACTGCAGCAATGTGGGTGAAGCACCTTGCTAAAAAGTGCAACAGCAGTGCCTTACCTGACTCCTAACAACAACCAGAACCCTGTCTGTTGTGTACAGATTGAAGGATAAAAAACCTAGTATTATCCAATTGTGTCGTGACACTCCTGAATGTTGTTTCCTTAATAGGCCTTAATGTTATAGAAAAAAATCATACATACAGCCTTAATCACAAATAAAACAACAATAAAGTTCCAGTATTATAGGTATTCCAGTATTGGCTTATTTACTCTGTAGGCCTTCTTGGTAGTTTACTTATTTAGAACCTTTATACAGCTGTTGACCTCTCCAATCATTTTAGAGAACTTCACTTAGCTATGATCAGATCATAATATTAGTGATAATATTATTATTTTAGTAGCATTATGGGTGGCACTGTTGGTGTAGGTTTCCTTTGGGTGCTCTGGTTTCTTCCCACAGTCCAAAGACATACTGGAAGGTTAATTGACTTCTGGGAAGACTGGCGCTGGTGTGATCACACTGATCTCTCCGTCTGCGTTCTCAAAGAAGGGTTTCTTAACTCCCATAGCAGAAAGACATCTGATACAAAACTTATCCTGAAACTGGGCTCACACCTTCCCCCTTCTCTCAACGACAGATTTGTTTTCGTGAAATCTTCTCTATTCTTGCAGGTTTTTTACTTCACCCCTCTCTTCACCTCTCTCCACTTCGCACCACCTGAGTGGCCTCTCTGCCTCTGCCCTGCTCCCACCTCCTCCCCTCTCCCAGCTTTTGTTCTCCTGTGCCATTTAATCTTTGCTGTCTGCCCTGTCTTTCTCAATTATGACTGAAAGCAGCTAGAACGGCAGTGTTTTCTAGAATCACAAATGACTCTGCATTGAAATGATTTAAAAAACATTTTATTTTAATAAGGAGAAAAAATCACTGTTACAGAGTTTAATGAGGTACTCAAATGATAAATAATGTACAAAGTAACTGCCAAGTTGGAAAAAACAGGCTTTAATTGCATCCTCTTTATCTATTCGAATATGGTTGCCTAAGGGGTCTTGAGCAGAATATGAAATTGTTAAGCCTCACAGTTACATGGGAAACTTGTGCAAGTTCAAGCTACAAAAAGTTGTTTTTGCTCTTAAACCAATTTATGAAATGTGCCCAGACCATTCTGCATAGTTCATATTATGAGCAGGGAACACGTCCCATTGTTAACAACTCTGAAAATGGAATTTTCTGGTCCAAATAAGGGTTTTATATCGTCAAACGGTGGTTGTCCACAGAGCCCATCTCAGTTCTAAATGTTCCTATTATTAATCCTTGAGTCTTTTTCAAGGGATAATTTGGAATTAAATTAAATGCAGCTCTATAAAAATATGCTTTTGAGATAAAGCTCTCACACATTTGCATTTCCTGTACAGTTTCAATATAGTGACATGATATTTTTTACTTTCACATTGACTCAATGTTCGTTACAATGAGCAGTATTACAAAGACAGAACTATGCGTGCTGTGTTTTGAAAGGTAGGCAGAAAGGCTTTGATCAGATTCTTGAATTCAGGAAGGCTTTTCTACAAGTTTTATTAGATTTTTTATTTTTTTTTACAAAATTTACAAAACAAAGAATTGAAAAAAAAACACTCGTTTTCTAATTACAAAACCAGACAAAAATTGTGACTTCAAAACATTAAAAAAGGCAAAAGTTAAAAGTTAGAAGTGTACACAGTTGTCTGCTTAGGATGAGATTTAAAATCAGTTTTTTACTAATTTTATATTGCCCCTTAATTTTGTGGTTATTTAATAATTGGGCTCTAAATTTAGCAGCACAATGACCAGCAAATGTAGAACGCACAAAAACCTTTTGTCTTGGATATATTTGTCTCTGTATAATGCTCATAATCATCGGACTTGAAAGATAAATCAATGGGTTTGCTACCATAACAAAGTGCAATCAAAAGATTATTCTCAATAGTACTAGAAGTAGTTTCTACATCTTTGATTTTTTAAAATCTGCAGAACAGTTTAATGTTTTCAGCATCTTTGTCACCTCAAACCAGATAATTATGAAAATGTTCTTACTGCAGTGGGCTGTTGTCTTCTGTTTTATTTAATGAACAAATCTATTGAATGGTTACAAAGGGAGTGAACGTACAGTCATTGTTTTGCATTTGGTTTCGATAAACACATAGACACTTATAATCTGAGCCATTTCAGTTTTATAACTCCACTTAATTGTTGTGTTTAAACAGCAACACCATTTACAAAAAAGTATCTGATTAAAAAGTCACATGTGAGTGAGAAAAGTGTCACATGTGAGTGAAAATGTGTGAAATGTGCTGCACAAACTAATGGAATACTCCCATAAGACAGGACCTTCATCAACAAATTGATATACCACTTCAGCTTGGAGAAACACACCTCTCTCTGACTCGTGAGTGATGTTTCTGTGATGCTGGCCAGGCAAATACTGAAACGGAGAAGGCACAAGACCTCTGCCTTGAGGTGGTATGACGAGATGGTTCTTTTTTTCTTTTTCATTCGGAGAAGTGCCTTTTGTAACCTGTTTCAAAGACCAGAACCAGAGAGAGACCAGGTTGCTACTGTTTTCATATCACATCTATGGAAATGTCCAGGGGTGTGCATCTGGAAGGTCTGGTCAAGTCTGTGTGGCTGACAGCCTCATTGACGGGTCTTGCTGAGTTTTAGTGTTTCCGTGTGCGCTGTCCCCCGGTCATGCTAATGTTGAGCAGATGCTGAGGCTGCCTGTGTTGAGCTCCTCGCTTGAGATGCCCAGGTTGGTTGAGGGGGAAGCTGGAGGAAGAGGAGTCAGAGGCAGCTGTGTTTGGCCCTGGGGAAAAAAAAAAGACACCACAATGGGCTGATTTACTAAGAGGTCTTGCTCTTTGTTTCTTATTTGCAATTTAGCAGAACAAATGGAGACTGCATATTCTAGACCCAGTACACTGACACCCATGTGGATGATGGAGCGCTTACAAGCAACAGAATAGAAAAACATTTCCAGTGAAGCTGATTCATCTCTTTGTAATACAGAAAGATCCACTGTGTAAGACAAAAACAATAAAGCATATAACATTGATTCCACAAAATCATATATACAGTATATACACACTGTAATACTTAGACTATATGTTTCCGCTTAAGAAATACCTGAATAAAACTTGCCTTTGAGGATGGATAAACTAAATGTCAAAACATTGAAAACGTCAGGAAAAACATGTGGTTATTCAGCTAGGAATCAGGATGTCAGTACATGAGCCCACCTGGCTGGTGGGGAAGCCTCACTTTGGACAAGGGAAGGACGCCCCTTGCCTGGGCCCGTGGCACAGGGGCAGGCTGCTGGCCGTTGATATGGAGGTGGGGGTCTGAGGTGCTGTCCAGTGGCCGGAAGCGCTGGGCTGTGCTCTTAGACTGAGGGAGCTGAGACAGCGAGAGAGTGACAGAGAATCATGGTGGGCAATGCCAAGTGATCTTGTGCAGACATACTGTAGGCAACCTTGCTGCTTTACTGTTTTCACATTTCAGGTCTTCTCAGCAATTTCCAGTCACCATTCAGTAAAACTAGGATTTCACCACTGCAACACCCGTGATGCCCAAATTACTTAACCGAGAGAGAAACAGGATCTGCCAGGAACACAGAAGCCAGGCATTGTTGAGGGAGGGGAGAGCCACAGTTACTATGAATTGCACTTGGAATGGATCTCAACATCAGAAATGTAACAAAAACCAACAACAATAAAAATGATCTTCACTGCAGCTCATAAGAGAGTTTTGACTAAAAACGTTAACTGGACAGTTCTTTGTAAGTAAGAGGGCAGGAGGTGTTCACCCCTTTCCTATGATGTCCTGTTCTGTTGAATTACCAGTGAAGTATAAACACTTTTTTTTTCTATCAAAACGTGAATGTTGAAACAGAACCCCTTTTTGGTCAAAGAAGTTAAATGCCAGCAGGAAAAAAACGTTTCCGTGTCCGTTTTTCTGTTCTATATGTGCAGCGCTTGTATCGCTCTGGTAAGAGAACGTGTCCCACACAGTCCGGCCGAGAGGAAGGCTCACCGCTTGCCCCGTGACCTCGAAGGACCTGGACCTCCTCTTGCGGCGCCGGGCCTCGAAGTCGCTCTCCCTGGGGGCGGGCTTCTTCTCGCCGGGCCGGCGGTGCTGGGGCCGCGTCCAGGTGGCCCGCGGGCCGGGTCCGTCCCCGGTGCTGCTGGACAGGTTGTCCTCGGAGGTGGCGTGCTGGAGCTGCGGGCTGGGCCTCCTGTCCCGCCGGGGGGCCGGGCCGCGGGGGGGCCCCTCGCTCAGAGACAGGCTGCTCTTGTGTTTGGGGGGGTCCAGGGGTGAGGGTGGCGGCAGCCGCAGCGCGTCTCCTTCCAGGACCTTGGAGCGGCGGCGGGCGGCTTTAACGGCGATGTTCTTCACCCCTTTCAGGATCTGCTGGCGCTCTGCAGGAGAGAGAGGGGTGACTTCTCCACGAAGACAACGGGTTTATTTCTCTGTTCTTAACCTGCACTTGAATTCACTGTAGCTGTTATTCAGGGCCGGGTAGTGGGATTCGTAGGCCCTCAGCACTTTCACTCCGAAATGTGCAAAAAGAGGGGTGAACACCAATTGAATTTCGTCCATTGACATGATGCACTTTAAACTATTCTAGTGCTAAACCACGTGATTGATGGAGTGACCGTCACTTTGATACTTCTAGTTTCTAGAACAGCTGCTAGTGTAGGTAGCGTATGATTACTGATTTGGAGCACCTAGAGTCGATCGCAAGCATGTCGTTTCAGCTAGTTTTTCGTTAGTCAATGGTGTTTCCCACGTTCGTAGGCCCTAAAAATGTTGTAGGCCCTGGGCACTGTGCTTACAGTCCCTAATGGGAAATCTGGCACTGCTGTTATTAATTTATTGACATGCATTGATAATAATGGGTTCACAATTGCAACTACAGAACTCTGTCATATTAAAAATACCATCCACTAAACTACTGGATTTGACGACTTCTATCTCAACACAATTGTCAGCACATTAGTGTTTGCATCAGTGCCTGGAGATTTCAGCAGGACAGGCTGACAGGTACAGCTGTACCTGTGTTCACCTCCTTAAGTACTCGTTTTTGTGTCACATGTACGGTTTCTAATACAGCAGGACTTTGCACATTCACTTTGTGATGCCTGTGCCGAGACTCGCCTTTGCGGGACAGAGGGACTTCTGCCCCGTTCTCACTGCTCTCTGGAGAGGAATCCAGGTGACTGCTGACACTGTGGCTCAGAAGGCTGTAGCTCAACACCCCATCTTGTGGAGCTGGCTGGAACCAAGAGAGACAACAAGATATTAGGCACAAGTGAAACAGAATATTTCAACAGTAATGAAGACCCAGCCTAGTCTGAAATGTTTAGGAGACAAAGCATAGTGACTTACTACATTAAGACCACCTTCTATTTATATTCTAAAAATTATTGCTTTAACAGCAGAAAACTATAGTTCTAAGTATCACACTTCAAATGTCCAGGAATCTCTGTTTATAAAATTAAATGTGAACAGTCTAGGATGAAGGAAAACGTGCTGAAAAGGGCAATACACCAACATTGTAAACTTATTTATCAACGTATAACTTACTTATCCCATTTTAAGACACAGAACAAGCTAGAGTTTCCACACCTCTATTACCAACTGGCCTGTGTGTTTCTCTATAACCCTGCTTGTGCAGTCAGGCGAATACTGGATATTCTAGCACAGGCGGGCTCACACCTCGCGGGTCCCAGGGCTGCTGATGTGAATTGGAGGTGGCGTCATCACTATGGAGTGTTTCATCTGCCGGGCGTGAGGGCTGCTCTTGAACACCAAGAGGCTGTCACTGCAGAAGACAAGGCAGTGTCAGAGCAGCCCTCGTCCTGGCTGCTGAGATTCACGGTTCACAAATCCTCCTTTCGGTGCAGAATTCGTTTTGTAATCTAACAAGGAACTTTTCTGTGTGGTATTTTGTTTAAAGAGCTGAATCCATAAAACGTTTTGGGGGGATTTCTCAGATCTGTATGGTACTTATTGGGAGAGCATGATACTCAAATGGTAAGTCAGCTCTGTAGTTGTGAATTCCTCCTTTCTAGAAAAGCCCTTAGATTATGAATCAACAGTGGGCAACACAATAACTTGCAGTTTTCAATAGAAGCAGCTTTGCATTTGCAAACCTAAAATAAATCAATTAAAAATAGGCAAGGGGGTTGGCTTTAAACCACAAGTGTCCCCTCTTCCCTTCTAAAGCAGACAGCCCAGCGTTATCTCTGAGGTCTGTCCCAAAAGGCGGGTCTCACCTCTCAGGCTCGGGGAGGATGGGTATGGGTGGTAGGGTGTGCCGTCGTGACTTTGCTCGGCCGCGCCTTGTTTCAGAGCCCAGCGTGTGCACGCTCTCCTGGTCCGAGTCAATATCCTGTAGGGGGTCGCGACCTCTCCCGGCCAAGGGGATCTTGGGCAGGGACCCCTCCTAAAAAAGCAGAGGTGCTTTAGCCTGGGGGTGTAAAGGGCTGCCTAGACAGTTCAAGGGAGCAGAGGAATGGACCCTGTGCAGGTATGAAGATAATAATACAACATCTCCCAACGCAGTCCAGGAACATGCTGAACTCAGGAACCAGGAAGGCAAGCCACGGAGAAATGAAACACAAAAAGCAGGGAAAAGGGAAACAAGGAGAGACCAGGAGAGAATAATGTGAAAAGAATCAGTAGAAAATGAACAAGGACTGAAGCACAACAGGAGTAAGAAGTAAGGAAAGAAGCAGGATACTAGGTTCAGGGAAAGCCTTCAGAGGAGGGGTCTGACCAGGTCAAAAGCTCATCACAGGGCACAGCAAATGAGTCTCAGTGTGCCATGCTGATCAGTGGACTTACTCTTCTATGACATGTTTGGAGGTGTGATCATCACATCCTGCACTAGTTTTAATGGGTGTGCAATGTCTGAATTCAAATTTCTGAACAAAGATGGAGTCCGAAGGATTAATGAATAAGCGCTGCTCAGTCGACAAAGTAAGAGCATATGTTGGCAGTCTACGAACCTTCTAACATATAAGTATACAATACATTTTACATTTTGTCCTGGAAATTTCATAAGAAGACAACAGAGGTCAATCAGTGTATTGAATACAGTATGTTACTAACAGGCAAAGAGTATTCTGCATCATTGTTGTAAATCTTCACTGCACTTCCCCCCTCCACAATAATACAACAGTGATGCATTGCTGACACGTTGTGAAGATGACCTGTGAAACAAACAGCAGTATGCCAGAGAACTCAGGTCAGTGCTTGTCACAGAGCTGGGTACAGATGTACCTTGAAAGTGGGCACGGTTACTCTGTCCAGGGCCATGACCCTGTCCAGCTTTCTCTCGTCCAGCTCCCTTGTGTACATCTCATACAGCTCCTGCAGGTGAGGAGGCACCAGCAGACTGTGATCTAGAACACAGTCAAAGCAACATTGTCTCAGTGAGTGCTGAAATGTACCGGACGTCTCACAAAACGAGTTGACAGAATGTGTCAGAATGGACCTGTGTGCCTCTGGACTGCATGCAATAGGCTGCTTGATTCTGAAGGTCCATTTATATGCAAGGATGCATATTTACTGTATGTCTGTGTTCACAAAGGCGTGTGAATGCACCCTCTGCTATCCTATCCTGGAATCCTTGCAAGTTTCATGTTGACTTTACCTGTCTGAGTTACTATCATCCTACTCCCCACTTCACAGCCTTGTCTAATTTGTCTAATTCTGGTTGTCTGTCTGTCCCCCACGAGGGCCTTCTCTTGCTACAACCCAAACTCTGGTACTCTATCCGTAAGGATATCCGAGTCATCTTCACCGAGCTCTTCACATCTAGACTGAAAACCTTCTTTTTTTAGAAGGGCCTTTATCTTACTGGTTCTGTATAGTATGTGCCCCCTTTGCTTCCCCACTGTATTCCAATCCCTCATTTTAACTGTTTAACTTTTTAACTGTTTAACACTGCTGTCTCCCGTTGCTGTGTTTTTTTCTTCTTTATTCGTTCGCGATGTGTAAAGGGCTTTGAGGATCCACTTTTAAAGTTACTACAGAAAATAAGGTGCATGATTGGAACAAGTAAAAGTTTATTCCGCGCTGCAAAGAAAAGAGACACAACGTTTCGGCTGTGGTGTCACACCTGACGCAGGCCCCGCAGCCAAAACGTTGAGTCTCTTTTACTTGTGCCTACTTGAAAGTGTATTATGCTCCGAGGGTCTGAATGGAGGCTTGTCTCGGCGGGGATCGTGGGCCATCTGTGTCCACGCGCCTGTGTGGACGGGACGGTCCCTTCCCGGAGGCGGGCGGCCCTCTCACCGTTGATGAACTGCCTCTGCTGCTGGATGATCTCGTCGCAGAGGTGGCGGTGCAGCTGGAAGCGCCGCACCACGTAGTCCTTCTGCCGGATGACGTTGTCCCTGAGCAGGGCGTGGGACTGCATCTCGGCGTTCCCGATCTCCAGCTCGTGCACCTTGCACAGCAGCCCCAGCACCTCCCGCTGCTCCTCCGAGCTCACCCGGCGCGGGAGCAGCTCCTCCAGCCGCCAGGCCCGCTCCCGCAGGTCCCGGAACCGCCTCTCCAGCGCCAGCTACGGCACGGGGGGGGAGAGAGGCACCCGGCACGGAGTCAGATTCCGACTGCAGGAAGGAGGCCGCTTCTGCTCTCAGCAACGGTGGACAGTCGCCACACACTGCTACAGCTTGCCCCAGCAATTAGAACGTGCAATTCGAAAGAATCATTACATCAAAAACTAATGTAATGTTGTAATGTTTCTTTATTAGCCCTATACAATTTCTTGCATTGGGAATTCATCTTTTCGCCTACCCCAGCTTTTCTCCATGGAGACACAGACAGGGAGAGAAGCTTGGGGTCAGAGCGCAGGGTCGGCCATTGTACGGTGCCCCTGGAGTAGTTGGGGTTAAGGGCCTTGCTCAGGGGCCCAATGGAGTAGGATTCCTCTGCCGGCCGCAGGATTTGAACCGGCAACCTTCCAGTCACCGGCGCAGATCCTTAGCCACAGAGCCACCGCTACTGTGGGTGATACATACAGTAGTTGCATAAATGGAAACTTTTCATTGCTGGAGGTGTCAATTGTCCAAAGGAAAAAATAAATTGCAAAAATGATTGTCTGGTTATTGTCACTGGTCCTGGTAAAATGATTCGGACGTGACTGGAGAACGATCATTTCCACCGTGGTAGTGGGAAGCTACGGAGACGTACCTTCTGTTTCCGAATTTTCTTCTGCTCGGCCATCAGTGTGACCAGGTTCTCCCTCGCCATGGCAACCTCCTGCGTCTCCGTGGCATCGGGCAGCTCCTCGGGGGTGTCCGAGTCCTTCTCGCTGTCCTCCTTGTTGAAGCTCTCCTTGCGTCGCTCCGCATGCCACTTCCATGCCCGGCGGGAGCGCTCCTGCTCCCAGCTGCAGGGCGCGGAGAGAGGAGAGGGGTCAGCCGATAGCGAACAGGTGTCCCAGTGATGGGACAGATCACTCCATCCCACTGCAGGGGAGTTCCTGACCACTGGCAGTCTGATCTCATCATTAAATACTGTAAGAGCACTCAGTCACTCTGTCGGGCTTTTATGACAAAACACAGCATAAAAAATTGTCCTACCCTGGTTCTGGATCAGATGGAATAGAAAACTAACTCAAAGTTTCCTACTCATCGCGAATGGTAGACCAGAATCTTGAACAGTGGTAAAGATTAACTACACTCAGCACCTTAGTGTGTAACCTCTTAAAGGTCATGTACAATGCTTCAATGAAATTTCTGTCAGATAACACTAGATCTCAGCGGGTATCTTTATAGCAAATGATAGGTTTGCAAGTAGAATATGGAGGTTGGGGAACATCACTGAAAATGGTATACCACAAGGTTTAAGTCACTTTCAGAGGGCCTGTCTTTTTAAGGTTTAGCATGATTGCATGAAACCTCTATAAAGATTACCCTGCATTTCTGTGGAAATCATTTCTAGCCAGATGTATTATCATACTGGGGCTTCCTAACCATTTCTCTGCAGGGTTTTCACACAATTTGTAACTATAACAGCTTAATTCATCGACGGGAAACGAAGGGACTAGCTGTTGGAAGACCTGTCTCAGAATGGATTGGATTGGATGCTCCAGTACTCCACTACCCCTGATTCCAGGACTCCAGATCTGTCTAGCCTGGCACTGCTGGCTGGAGGGTACTGACTCTGCGATGGTGAGCAGGTGTTTGGAGGTGTCAATCTGGATCTCCATGTTGTTGTTCTCCAGCTCCATTAGGCTCTTGCGGACCTCCATCTGCTGCCGAAAGGCCTCGATGAGCTGCTCCCTCAGCTGCTCCATCTCCACCCGGCTCTGAGAAGAGTGCGCCTGGACCTCCGCTGGGGGCACATGCCAATGAATCGATCAATAACCTCACACACAGGACAGGACAGGACAAAACCACCGATCACTCAGCCGCAGTCCCTGGTCTCTGTGAGTGTTACAGTGCTCTCACTTCCCAACACGCTCAGGAGAGCTCAGCCTCCCTGTGGTAAGGGACAGGCCTACTGGTCTAGAGGGTGTGGCCCTTGTGTGGGCTCTGGGCTGGGGATGTACAAGAGTGCGGCTCATGGTTCGAGTATACACATAGCCATCGTCCACTACAATCAGAAATGCCACAAAAATTTAGAATTGTAAAGAAACATTCTATTGATGTTGAACTGTACATAAAACTTTATCAGTTTCAAGTTTATCATCATCGTACCTGTGTACAGTGCAATGCAGATATACAGATATACACAGAATGTATGTCATGGCTCTCCGTCGTGTCCGTCGATGACGGTTGTACTTTGTGCAGCTCATCGTTGAGTTTGTTGTTACATTGATTTTTTAATTAAAGGCATCGATGACAGCAACGATTATAGTTTTGAACCAGCGCACAAATCAAAATCCTGTCTCAACTCGAAATAAAGTAGAGGCTGTTAACCCCCAACCCTCCTGCCTTTCCGAGTGGGTACAGCACCTTTGTAGCTGCTGGGAGGGCAGCAGTGTCTCACCCTGCACGTTGCGGATGTCAGCCCGCTCCCCGGGGGCCTGTCGGGTGGCCTGCTCTGCAATCTTCTTCTTGAGGCGCTGAATCTCGGTGCGCAAGTCGGAGATGATGTTGGTGTACTGGGCGATGTGGTACGACACATTCAGCAGGTTCTTTTTCACCTGCCGATCCACACAGCACAGTTCAGCACTGCACAGAAGCCCGGTATTCCACATACTCAATGAATTTATTCAAAAAATGAAAGAGTCCCTGGCCAGGTGGAACACATTGCAATTCTGCAGAAATGCATCTATAATTGAGCAGGAGACACTTTCTTAACACAATCAGCCGTGGGACTCTAAATCAAGCAAACAAGCCACAGTCATCTTTAAAGAAACAACTGAATACGATCCTGAAATAAAATAGCAACTTCAAATGAGATACTACAGATGCCCCAATCTTATTTTTAACCTTCCTTGTGTTCTTATGTAATAAAGAAACAGCTGGCCTTTTGCTTTTCTTCCTAGACCACATCATTCATGCCTTGACACGCCTCCAGTTTTTTCAGGTAATGCGGAACAGACTGCAGAATCAGCACCATCACCACAGGCCTGACTCAGGGTTAAAGGAGTTCCTTTTAAATTAGCGCTGCAGAACTGCAATAGTCAGCATTTTATATACTGTATTACTGAGGGATACAGCAAATGAGCAAAAACAGCAGACATATGTCACAAATAAAACACCCCAGACCTATAAAGGGAGCTGCAATCAAATAAATGAAAAGCCAAAATTGGGCGTGTTTGGGCAGAAGCATACCCGCGTGCGGATGCTCTTGGCGCGGTCGGCGTAGACCAGGGTGTTTCGAGATTCCTCAAAGGCGGTGGAGGCGGGGCTTATATGGGCGATCATCACTGTGCGGCTGTTCCCACCCAGGGAGTCCTGTTGGCCACAGAAAGGTGGGGATCATGGAAAAGGGAGCAGGAGGAAAAAGAAGAGAACAGAGGAGAGGGGAGGAAACAAGATGCGTGATTGAGATGAGGAGAAACAGGCAGTACTGAAGCCTGCCACTCTAGAAGCCAGTAAAAGCTCAGTACTGCACAGTAGAAGCATGGTGGAAAAGAGAAGTATAATGAGGCATGATGTAAGGTGCAGGAAATTATGATAAGAAATGGCAAAGAACTCCTGTATGTGGCGCAACCAGTAACACTCTCACATCGAGCTTAAGTTGTGTTGTACATTGCACTACTGTATAGTCCAGGCATTACTGGTGCAAACCAGGGTTATACCACAATCTGACAGAAAGGAATCTCCAAGCAGCAATGCACAACTGTAAGTGCCTGATCACCACCATCAGTGATAGATGGCGCCTTTCCTGTTAGATACCGTGGAGCTTGCAAAATGTCAAACAACGAATGCCTACGCAGGTGTGAATGTCAGAGGGGTGTGTCTTCATTTTAATATCACCCAAGCATGTACAGGAGCCATTGCCTGGCAGCCAAAACTTAAAATAATTGAAGGGTATATAATGAAAAATAATTCTCGAAATTCAAGAAATGAAGAGAAACTGTAAGATGCACATTTTGTCACAGTTAATATATAACTTTTTCGATATTACAACGGAAGACTCAGATGAAATACGATATGTCAGCTGTACCTTGAGTAGGCGTGTGAGCTTGCTGTCCCTGTAGTTCACATACTTGTTTCCAGTTTTCTCACTCAGGGCATTGATACAGTTTCCCAGGGCCAGAAGAGAGCGGTTGATGTGGGCGCCTTCCTTTAGCCTCTGGCCACGGTTCTGTGTCTATGGGAGAGGGCAGGTGTTCATTTCTTTCAGTGCCATCATGCACATCACACTACTTAAAACACGAACAGCAGGGGGTGCGCTATACCACTGTCTGAGTCTGCTTGTTTTTCACTTACATGGACACAGCCGTTCTGTTTACTTACTAGTTGCATTTAAATCACATGGCATATATTCACTTCAACTTTAGAATTTGTAATTCTCACTTTTTGGTCGGTTCTCTTGGCAGTAGTCGATTTCTAAGCAAGGGTATGTCTCTTTGCAATTTTTGCAATCATTGTTCTTTTTTTCTACTGATGCAATTCACACAAAGCTTCTCATTAGTCATGTTGGAAAAGGAACCTCCCAAGAGGCAGTGGCACTAAGGGTGTGAACACAACACTGATCAGAGCAGCTCTTACCCGCTAAAGAAAGCAGATTTCCAGCTTAATACATATTTTATTGTTCATCTGGAGGTGCTAGACTTCTGAATTAAATGACCTCAAAAAGCACCAGCAAACCTACAGTAGAAGCATGTGGTACTAGTTTTTAAACTTAACTCAACAAACTTTAGGTCAGGAGGTTACAAATCTTGAAGTCTTTGTTTACCAAGCCTTTGCAGGGCATGGAATACTGATTGCATTTGCAGATCAAGTTGATGTTTCCCAATTCAAGCATTGCTAAATAATTTTCCTGTGCTTGGTCTTAATCTGCCTATCGGCAATAAAAGCTTTAGCCAACTAGCATTATGAATCACTTACAATGCATGATCAAACTGGCCTGACAACTTAAATGCTGGATGAGAGTAATAATGTTTGCAGTGACAAGGAAATTTGCATCTCGATTGGGTACTTTCGTCAGACTCATACATTTGTAAAAACAGACCTCTTGGTCATGGAAGTGTGTAGTAACATGCATATACAGAAAATGTATTCAGTGTAATTGTTTTTGGCAACCCACGCACTCTATGGAATTATGGATTCTCTTCTGTCTATGCAAATGTCATGAAAGGAAAAGGAAAAGGACTCGGTTTTATTTTGAATGTACATCTTTGTGTGTCTTACTGTGAAGGATGCCCTTAGCCCATCAGCCCGTCGTGAAGCCAAAAATCTGCTATCAGACATGTTTTATGATTTTAATGATGGTAAAAATTAATTAGAGCACAATTAATACCTTGATACAAATGAGCTTCAACTCATAACGCAGAAAGGAAAAAGGTGGTTCGCTTTCTGCCAAGCACAAGGAAGAAGTTATATCCAGGGAGAGCCCCACAAACATTTTTGGAAGCAATAACAAAACAGAATAATCTGTCCAAGTTCATGCAAATTCACACCTATGTACAACTAAAGGATTTAAACTCCTTTCACTGAAAAATGATTTACAATGTTTAAAGCTGGTAATTTGAGATTCATATCACTCTGGGAAGAAAGCATTTTACTGCTAAAAAACTTTGCACGTTCTAAACACCTTCAATGATAAAACCATGATGGTTTCCAAGATTACATGAATCCGAAAGTAAACAAGAGGCTGTCTAATGTTTTAATTCATGGCGATTTAGACAGTGCTACTGTCATGAGAGCTGGGTCAGACTCTTGGGAAATGCATTGTAAAAGACCCTATGCGGGACGGTATAATCCGGAAGTGACTGGAGAAGGACATCAGGGCGAGGAATGGACAGGATGACGGACAGGGGGACGGAGAAGACTGTGATCTGGTGCATGAGGGGAGCGCAGGCGAACGAGTCCAAAGAGGGGAAGGCCAATAAGGGAAAACAGGGCGCAGTCCAGGGTCCAGGTACTGGAAGATCCATCCGAGACAAAAATAGGGAACGGGGAACTAGGAACCAGGTACTGTACATGGGAGATTAAAATTATAACGGGACAAGGCGCTCCGAGCCCCGGACTCAGAGGTCGCCATGGTGAAGCCTATGCCCTCAGGCCACTGCTGTGCCCGGTGGTAGGCGGGCTACTGGGCGTCCGTCTTCCAAAGCTGAGCTTTGAAAAAGGTAGGAGCGCCCTCTAGAGGAGGAGTGTAACAGCTACATTTGAGATATTCTAATCTGGAACCAGACAGTTTTATTCTGTAGCTGCCCAGAAACCTCTAAATAAATTGTGAGTAATAGACAAAAATTCTGCTGAGAGCGCTATCTTCACCGCAAAAATGGATCATGAAGGAAGAATTCCCAGTTTACTAACACAATCAGAATGCACAGCAAGGATTTATCTGCAGGACGTGTAACAGGAATCAATCATCTGACCTCCTGTAAACTGAAACCTTCCCTGGAAATGCAATGCACTGGCTTACATATTAGAAAAACACATAGAAAACTTGTGATTTAGAAATCTCGTTTTTAAAATGTTTTCTGTCTCATGAGAAGATAGCAGCACTTCAGCACTATGTTTATATTCTGTATTATTAACAATCTTGTAAAATGATACTGGTTAAAGAATCGGAAGTATCTTTTTACTAAATTCATCCAGCAGGAGTCTCCCTTGTACCCTTTTTAAATACTTGATGTATTTAAAACTCATTTGTCTTTCTTTGTCTTGGATCTCATAGAAAGATGCGCAAACTGGTTCGTTGGCTGAATAAACAATACATTTGGTTAACAAACTGGGAGCTGAGTGGGGGACCCCAGGTCAGACACTTATCCATTCAACCAGAAAAGCGGAGAGACAATTAAGATTTTAAGATGACGTGTAGTCATTTCCAGTGTCATTCTGTGGTTCAAGGAAACAGGGACGTAAATATACACGAGAATGTTATAAAAATGCGTACACGTGCTAATCCTTTCAGGGATTCTGGGATTTCAGGTTACCTATAGGAAACTCAGACTCTGCTTATTAACAAAATCTGCAAGAGATGAAAACAAGAGCTGTTTTGTTCATTCCACACTTTATGCCAAGAGTCTCATAACCTCTGGAGAATGCAAATGACCTTTACTCATGTTTCAATGCATTGCATGTCCTGTACATGGGAGGGTCAGATGAGCTTTGAGCAAAACACAGCACTCTGCATTTGTGTTAATGCTCTGATTGCAAAAACACATGACCACATCCATAAAGTTCTGCAATCCATACAGAGTGGAGTCCATAAAGAGTGAATGTATTGGACATGTTACGCAAAGAGGACCTATCAGTGTAAAACACTGCCCTGTACTGCACTGCAGTATGATCTTCAACATTCATTTGCAAAAGCCTATCATGGTTTCCACAACGCTCAAGAGTCTGGTCACACAAAAGTCTGGTCCCTGGGGAGAGTCGGTGTACCTGTGAGGCGCGCTCGGAGCCGGCCAGGTCGATCATGAAGAGCCGGGCGAAGCGCACCTCCTGCAGGATGTCGCGGCAGCGGCTCTGCTGCCGCACGGAGACCTGCAGGACCGCGTGGGAGCGCGAGGACGTCTGGTTGGCGGCCGTGGGCTCCTGCGTGCGCTGCTTGTTCCCCTTCATCAGCAGCTCCATGATCTGGGGGAAGAGACCGCCCTCGCTACTTTGAAAAGGAAACAGCCTTTGTTTCAAGGAGATAAGGAGGAAGAAGAACGAAACTGAGGAAGATCACTGTAGACTGCAATAATAATAAACTTTATTTTATATAGTGCCTTTAAAAGGGGCTTCTCAAATCCCTGAACAGAAACAAAACAAACACAATGAGCGGAGACAGGAGAACTACACAGTTACAATAAGGGTTTGGAATGCAGTAGGAAAGCAAAGACGCAGACACAGAACCAGTTAAATAAAGACCCTCAAGCAGGATGTTTTGAGTCTAGATTTGAAAGAACTCAGGGAAGGTGACTCTCTTATATCCATAGGGATAGAATTCCAGAGCTTTGGATTGTAGCAGAAAAAAAGCCCTGTCACCAACAGAGGGCTTAGGGAATAGACAGCAGACCATAATTAGACAATTAAAGTGAGGTGCGGAGTAGGACGAAAGTAACTCAGATATGTAATGAGGTGCCAAGACATGCAAACCACTATAGGTGAACATGAGGATTTTGAAGTCGATACAAAATCTGATAGGACGCCAGTGCAAGAACTCCGGGATAGGTGTTACTGTATGTGATCACTTACACTAGATCATGCAACTAGGCTTTTCAGTTAGTCTCCTGCTGTCTGTTCTCCTGGAACAGGATGAACATAGAATCTGTTTTTTTTTCTCTGATCCATGGATGTTTGTCCTTGACTATTTGTTTTTCTTGTTAGATACATGAGTATCTAGTGGTCAGCTGGTTTACAGCCCCAGGAAATGAGGGGCAGTAGTGTGTCTAAAGAAGGAAGGGGAATGATATTTGTGGAAAAGTCGCACCTCCCTGGCATTGATGGTGGACACCTCTGTGATTCCTGCCACCTGGATAACTCCCTTGGAATCCTCCCGGAGATCCAGGAATCCTGAGGAGGGGTTCAGCAGGTCACGGATCATCTCATTGTAAATCTGTCAAACAAAAGATACTGTTCAAACAAGGGGTATTGGGAATGCTTCCTGGGAGACAGTCAGAGAGCCCAAGCCCTGAAGCCGAAAAAATAACACCTTCCAGTAAGGCAAGTCTCAGAAAATCTGTATTTTTTTTTACAAGATTATTGATTGTCTGGTAAAATGCAACATGATGAGACATGGTCTAAAATAGGGGCTAAACTCATGAAAAATGATACAGTTGTTAGAGAGGAACAGAACATGTTTAAAATATGCTTTGGTCCTTTTTTATATGAAATATATTCTTTTTTAATTGTGTAAGTTATTTTTTTTGTTTGTTTCTAAGCACCTTTAACTGTTGCTTTGAGCACACTATAATTTGCTTTCCATTTAGTTTTTTGAAAAAGCATTGTTCCTTGGAGCTATTAATAAATTTCATTTTTGGACATTACCAGGACATTAAAACAATACAAACACACTTTCACAAGGAGGAGTGTGGAGAATGAGGTTCACCCCTGGACCATTGACATCAGAATACAATTTTACGACTGTAGTGTCTTCCTGTCACTTTAAAACCAGCAGCAACCTTCTACACCCAGTGCATTTTCTTTTAAAGCAATTATTCCATATCCAGTTCCTTTCATTTCAAGTATATTTCATGCCACCACACTGTGCTTGATTCAAGGTTGATGTAACATAAACAAATCATAGGAAAGGCTCCCATTGGAGGATCCACATGTTTCATTGATGCTGTGAGAAAAGAGAGAGATGGGTAAGGAGGAATAAAGAGACAAAGGGACGAGAGGATGGAAAGGCTTATTTGAAAGAGAAAGGAGCAGATGTTTTCCAAAGTAGGCAATAAAACGGTACTAAACTTCATTGAGCCGCCAATGAAACTGCAGAACTGAGGCCCTGGAAACTTCAAAACCCAACCTCATGGCCTTAGCTGAGCCAGTCACAGAAACCACAGCCTTCGCTGCTTCTGTACTCTGACTGAAATGTTGCCTGCAAACTCATACAAGTACGTTTTGGGGAAAAAAAGGATCACAAAAGATCCCAATGGATTCTTCTTAAAGCCCATTAAAGAGCTCTCAAGCTCTACTTCAAATTCTATTCAATGAAATTGCTTTTATCCTCTCCCTCTCCCACATTGCCAAGCTCATACACCTTATGTCCTCTCTTCTATGATGCATTTATCAGTCCTTCTTACACATACCATTCTGCAAACTAACAAGAATGTCATATAAGGCCTGCAACACATTTCCACTTAAAGAGTGTTTGAAGTGAATGAGGAGTAGAATGTAGTACAAATAATCAGAGGTATCTAAAGGACACCATTTGGGAGATATTTGCATTTCAATGCTGTATATTAATGTGGAGATATTCACAGTGCCTAACAAATGTACAAGTAAAAGGTGCATTGTTCTCCTGCGTTACCTGCCTCTGCTTGCTGATAAAATGCAATAACTGCAAATATTGAAATAACACACACAGCCTCAATGTGAGGCTGACGTCTTGCTTTCTAGTTATTGTTTTCTGGCTCTCCTGTCACCCTATCACCTGTGGGGAGATTATCACCTTGTGAACAGGCGTTAGGTCCTCAAACACTGCACATATCACTAGACTATAGGTTGGACAAGCCTATTTAATATTCATCATGTGGATGGAGAAAGTTCAGTACTGACATTAAAGACACAGAGCAATCTGTGGGATGAAGCAAACTATCACACGGCATTGTATTGGAACAGTGGATGTCTTGAATTCATTCAGAAGAGTTTTTTAGACTCAGCTTTTGTAGAAATGGACTGAAAAGATGGTCTCAAAGCCACCACTTGTTTGCAATTTTTCATGCTCTTACACAGTATCCTATGTAACTCATCATTAAATCTGAACATTTCTTTAAAATCACAGTACCAAGTAAAAATCTTATGTGATGGCCATTGTCAGTTCTTAAAATAGTGCTAGTAAAACATCTTAAAAGTGCTTTTACCTCAAGATATGACATGGAAACACTGTACTGCATGTCATCACTGGTCTCCTCAATGGCTCTGAACAGGTCATTCAGAGTGCGGACATAGATCCCCGGCTCTTTGTCTGTGCCCAGCATAGTGTAGGTCTTTCCACAGCCTGTGCAGACACACATTTAGAGATCATTCAGAGGAGGAACACATCCAATTTACCCACAATCACTTTTTCACCAATAAAAGACTTGGCCAACTTATAGTTTGCAGTCCACTGTGATGGATTTAGTAGTTGGGCTTTAAATATTGCCACAGTTCCTGAAAAAAAATACTGCTTTTGCAAAATGAGTAAAGGACTAAAGGGGAAACAGAAGAGGGGAGAGAAGAAAGGGGAGCTCTCATCTGTCAGTTTTATCTTGGGGTGAGAAAATGGTTTAGAAAAAGGTTTTCCAGTTGCATTCTTGGGTTGCAGCACGGAGACCGTTTCACCTGTGTTACTGTTGACAAAATGAATAAGACAAGAATACATTAAAACTATGATTTACAGCTTTACATTAAATGTTACCCAGGTTATCCCAAACATATCTGAGTAGTGCAAGGCAGGCCTTATCTGATAAATTACTGTTGGGTTATGATGGCAGAGATAAAGAAGGACAGTGCACACCTGTAATGAACTGTAATAAGATTTGACAGGCAGCAGCTGAATCAGAATTAGCAGTCAAAGAGCCTTAGTGCCAGATGGGAGAGGAAAATTAAGTCTGGTCTGCTGGTAGATAAATATTGCTGTATTTGCACAGAGCACAATAAAATCTACCGATAGTGCAATTAGTTCCAATTACTCTGACTTTGACCTTATATATATATGGCTTGCTGGGAAGATCCAGTGTCCAAATATCAACGTTGTTATAGTTTCCTAGTGATGATGGCTCACAACTGTCACGGGTGTTCATAGAAACGCGGATTCACTACAGGACAGTGGAGCAAATAGAGAATAGAGAACTGGATGGAGGAAGAGATGGAGTTTTACTTTGCTTTCTTTTTTGTGTTCCTGAATTCTGCCAAAATGAAAATCTTTTGAGGCTACCCCACCTGTAGAGAAGCAAGACAAAAGCTAGCCTCAGTGTGAAAAAGATCCACTTTTTCAACCATAAAATGATAAAGCCTGAGAAATCCACAATAACAACACCTAGGAACACAGAAATAAATTATTTCCCACAAACCACTTCATTTTGGTTCATAAACCGCTTTAGAATGAGTGGTAATCATTCTACTGCTCAGGTAGCTAATGTCCCACACTAGGTTTCTTATAGTGATCAACAAATGAAACAACTGACTCTGAGTTTACTGACTAAGATTGTAAAGAAACATAGTAAAACAAGACTAAATGGTATATCTCAACCACAAACAAAGTGCAAAGACTGTAAAAATGTTTATGGAAGATGTACATTTGGATAGTATTTATCTTACTCTTTTCCATTCAATAAAAACATAAGATGAGAGGAAGTTATTCTTCCACTGGGTAGTTAGCAGCTAATTGATCCAAAGACCTCATCCAAATATTTTTTGAAAGAAACCTGGGGATTAGCTTCAACAACATGGCTGGGTATGTTTCCATACTTGCACAATCCTCTAGGTAAAGAAGTGCCCCCACATAGTAGTTCGTGTTTCACTGCTCATGCTGAAGAAACCCACTGAGATGTCATTGCCCTTGAGAATTTTAAATATTACAATCAACTTCCCTCTTAGTATTCTGTTCAAGATGCAAACAGTTCAGTTCCTCAGCCAGTCTGCCCAGGCCCAGAATGGATCTGGAAGCTCTTTTCCGGACTGACTGCAGAGCAGCAATGTCTCTTCATTAATGTGGAGACAAGCACACAAACACCATACCACAGGAGAGGTGTTACACTGGGCTTGTGTGCCCTGCAACTTACCCGTGGGACCATAGGCAAACACTGTGGCATTGTAGCCCGAGATGAGCCCCTCGATCAGCCCCTTGGTGGTGGCACGGTACACCTCATCCTGTGAAGGGATCAAGATGATGTAAGAGAACAGAGAAGTACCCCCTCCCAAAAGCAAATCACTTGCAAATCTAGGTTCTCTGCACATGCACCTGTGTATAGGCATAGGCACATCCGACTGTCTTTTCAATTCCAAACCCCCCCTCTTGACTTCATCAATCAGAAAGAATGTCTACAATCAGAAGTTAAAGGGTCAACAGACATTATAAACTAGGCATGTGCCAGAACCAGCTCATTTTCTTATAAGACTGTGTCTGAATGGACACATAGACCTCTCTGTTGAGCGCAGGTAATCACAAAAACAGGTTCTGACGCAGGCAGTCTGCCATGTGCTTTCAATTTAAGACACACCATCTCTTTCAACTTTCAACTTTTACACCCCAACAACTTTCTAACATACGTCCAAGCTAATTGTAGGTAAGAGAATGGAAACAAGAGGAGGTTTACTCATTTTTCGATTCCCAATTGAAAACATAACATTCCATCGTTGTTATTTTGCTTTTCAATGTGTAATGCGTCTCTGCATTGGGGATGGTAATAACACTGAGTGCAATGTACCTGACGACAGACGAATAGCTGACAATTTGTTTTTAATTGAAAACACTCTAGGGACGATGCACACCGCAGAGCCTGATGGTGTGATTTCAGAGTTTAACCATGTTTCATAGCAGCTTATTAGTTTAGAACTGGTCTTAAAAGATATATTATTTGGAAAAGCTGGATTACTTTGTTTTATTATTTGAAAAACACTGTGACAGACCAAGGGTCAATCAAAAAATATGTAGCAATAACATAGTTTAGAGGTTAAAAGCACGTTAAACATTTTTTTTTAATTCTGTAACAAAGATAAAGAGGAACTGCCTGAAATGGAACTTTGTCATGAACCACAGAAATTCAGGAGTGCAGGAGTCATATCTGTCAAGGTATACTGTAAATGTAGAGTCCAGAAGATCCTAGATACAGTAAAGTCAAGCTAAGATTCCAGAAACTGCCCTGTAACAAGATAAATGTATCAAGTGTCCAGAAGAAGCTGAAAAGGAAATGGATAGTGTGGTGGATCAATGTAACTCAGTGGATCTTTCTCACCTGAGTGGCAGAGTAGTCAAATGCCACGTCGAAGAGGTAGGTCTTCTCCCTGGAGCGATTGGCACGCAGGATGTCATCAGGATCTTCCATTGGATCCATCAGAACTACCATCTGGGGCAAAAGAAAGACAAAGGTCAGCCCCACATCACAGCAGGGCCGGACTGACAAGAGGTGCAAAGAACCAGCTCCTGTTTCAAACATAAACAGATCTCAGAGAGGCTTTTCAGTGCCTGAGCTGTTGACACATACAGGAGCTGTCCTGCAGAACAAAAGCAAATGCTGACAAAAGCTTTGTAAGACATGCATAATAAGTAAAAGCCACACATTAAGAAATGTATTTAAAATGTGCAATGAATGTGCAGGCAAGCTACCCATCTCGACCCTCACAAGTTTAATGACTGCTATTTAATTAAGTGGCAAATAATATTTGTTAGTTTTCACAGAGCCATATCCATGAAGCATTAGACTGCTGGTAAGTGTGCAGAACTGGAATAAACGTACTCAGGAAATGTGGGGGTCAATAGTGGAAACAGTGAATGGGGCACAGGGTTCAACCGTGGTGACAGAATGAATGTCCTGTGATTGGATACAACCAGCTCATTTATAGACCTACTTACCAATGCTTTTTAAAAGCTATTAGTCCATTATCTGCACTTACTTTTAGCTTTACTACCATTAATACACTTGAGCAGAATGCATCTAATAACACTGTTAAGGCTGCAGCATGTCAGTACAAATGACAGGGTGAGAGCAACGTTAATGTTACACAATCCCACTTTCTGAATGCTTGACTGAAATGAGTGGTTTATTTTTAATCAGTTTCATCTTGGGGAAAAAAAAAGATGAGCTGGCCTTTCTCTTGATGAAACATGCACGAAAAAAAATCCCATTTACCAAATATGAAAATGAAGTAAAATCCACAGAGGTACAGAACTACTCCATACCTCCTTAGCCAAGAGCAAGCAGCCCTTCAGCTGTATAGCCATGGTGCTGTTTGATGAGTGACAGAGACTCAGTGCTGTAGGGCCTGTTCACTTTGAAGCTGTTCCATTTAAATTCATGAGAAGCAATCTGACTTTTAAAAGACCTCCATTAAACCAAGATACAATGCACACAGCGAGTGACACAAACGCTAAATGGAAAGGAAAAAATTAAGAGTTTCAATACCAATTTCCATGAGTACACATTTAAATGAGAAGAACCCACAGCACTGTGCTCCTACAGCACAGTGTCCCTATTCACTGCCCTGGGCATTAGTTTAGAAATTCTGATCCAGAGGAAAGAGTCCCACTTACTGGTCTACCAACACCACTGTATTGTCCAGACCCAGCCCTGCTTAATTTCTGAGATTTGATGAAATCAGACTACTAGGCACCCATGCTTCTGAAAAACTAAAACAAGCAGAAAAGAAATGACAGGGGCCAGAGGCTTTAAGTGTTTGTACTGTAGGTCCTCCACTGGAAGGTATCTTGCAAGGCAGTCAGTCTCTCTTCCTCAGCTGAAAGTGACACACACATTGTTGTACAGTGCTGTGCACAACAACAGGTTTCTACATGACTGGAAAACAGGAAGGCGATGAGAGTGAAGTGCTCAAACAGGGGCCGATCACTCCCAGGACGGCAGGCAGGGCTCAGACGGTTGCTCACGTGCGGGGCAGATTAAGGCTGGAGATACTCCTGCTCCTTGAAGTCTCCCCTGCCATCTGGCGCTCGACCTGCTTTGGGTTACCTAAGCCAGGGAGACGGGTGACAGATGGTGCCAGGAAGATTTTGTAACGCTACTTTTCTTAAGTGCTCTAATGAGCGCTACACTGTTATCTGTGTGAAATGGCCCATTAGAGTGGGCTGCGGCGAGGGCTGATGAATTTGTGCCCACGGTGTGCCATCGGAAAACAAGAGAAGATGTGGTTCAGCTGGCTGTACCCGTTGAGTCCTCCAGTACGTCACAGAGGCCACAGATGGCATCTTTTAAGGCCAAGCAGGTGATTCTCCAACCATAGAAGGGTAAGGCAGAGCACTGTGCTAATATGCTTTGTCCTTTTTTAATTTTGCAAGGGTAGCACGTAGCTGCTTTTAAATAAAACTTGTCTGATGTGAAGGGTTTCATCCAGTTTTTTATTAACATCTCCTTGAGTCTCAGGAAGTTCTGTTGAGACTCTGAAGATATTAGCTGTTACACCTAAATGAGTGACAAAACTACAGAAGATCCCTTCCCAGACTCACAACCATGGGCAGATTATTGTGTATCCACAACCTTGTCTGACCCAAAACAGGTCTGGACATGATGAATAATGGACAGCTTATTGTTACTCATCAACAGGTTTCTCTAAGGCAACATTTTGATTCTTTTGTAGCACAAGAGAGGCAATCAAGTATCACTTTAGACAACCTGTTATCTTCTCAATACAGTCAGTCTGTGAAGAAAAAAAAGCTCCAGTAATACCTGTAACAGGCAATCCAGTAAAAAACCTAACTAATCCAAACTGCTGTTCTCCATGCCTCTGGTCTTTGTATAATAATTTATGTTCCAAAACATCTGCATAATGCCACACTGCCAACACCTAAGCTAAACTGCAGCGCATGATTGTTGCAGGTCGGTGTCTCTTTTGCACTGGACTTCCTTTTCAAAAAAATAAATTTTCTTTCCCAATTAACTGGCCAGATTCATCTGAGGAAGAACCCAGAGATCATTTTCAAATGTGGGTTCTAAGCAAGGGGACATTTTTTTAGTCCCCCATTTCGGGACTATTTATTTATAAGAGCTATTTATTTATAGATCCGCGTAGGACCTCAGACAGGAAATCCTGTCAGCTGTGACAGACATGTTAGAACAAGCAGGCTGGAGCGTGGCTTCCTTCCACCTGATCGACCACTCAGGACATGCCGCATGACTCCCACACCCTGGCCTGCGTGTCTCCGAGTTTCCACACCAATCCAGCCCACCAGCCATGGGAAAACAGCGGCCCAGAACTTCTCACAGTGCAGCCCATTCACATTCCCAGGGCAGCCTTTCTTTTACTGAGCGGCTCTGAGTCTTGCAGGCTCAACCCTGGCTTGAGAGGCAAGCTGTGATCAGACGCAACCCACAAGGTCAGGCATCCAGTCATTAAATTTTAAGAATACGAAATGTAATTCTGTCCGACTCTTACAGGAAATGTTTCAACATCTCCCACAGCATTACCGGATTCCTGTTAAGCATAACTGGATAGCAGTGGACTAAACACAATAGAGTAATAATGTACAGTAACTATAGATGAGTATTTTTGGAGGCAAGATAAAATGATGAGATACATCAGATCCCTTCTCTTATGTTTTTATTTAAAAAAAACCACAGTATTTATTTAGGCCCGGTGAACGTTGTAGTCATATTTTCTGCCAGAAAATGTATTTTGGACAAGATTTTGGCATAGATTATTAAGATAAAATGTGATCTAGTTCTACTAATGAATTTTTAAAAATCGCAATGCGTACGATGATTTCTTACTCTTCCAAACATATTGGCACCAGTTCACAGCTAATAGGTGAACACACTGCACCACTAGAAAAAAGGCACATCTGCATAGGAATAAATGTGGTAAAGCTTTGCTCCAGAATTCATATTCACTTGGCAAAATGCTCATGGAAAGGTATTTCCCACCCGGGTGGGATTAAATATGACCTAATATTTCCCCCTTGGAGGCAATCACAGAAAGAGATGCCTGCTGCACCACAGATTCCCATTTACCAAACCAGTGCTCCCATCACTCACACTCAGCTCAACAGAAAACAAAAGGCCAAACTTTCCTCGCTGTCGCTTGGGAAAGCCGTTTCAGATTTCCTCCCTGGCCAGCGCTCTCTGTAGCTGGCTGCCAGCACAGGTGCAGGCAGGTCTCTTTACTAATTTATGTGCTGAATAAATTGGACGTCAGCTGAGATGTGTGATCTTGCAGGGAGGGAAGATTAATGCGCTGTTGCCGATGTGAACATAAATGAAAAGCAATTTCCTGGTCCCTGGCTACGATAAATAGCTTTAGTTTTTAATTTTTAATTAAAGCACTTTGCATCACAAAGCATATTACCTGATACCATATTCTTTTTTCTTTTATGAAAAACAACAATGTTTTAAATCGTAGTAACGTGGAATCGGTGAAGGTCAACAGAGCTAAAGGAGCTATTGCACTTAACGGCTTTCAGTCGAGTGTCATGCAGCTGCGAGAATGTTCAGTTGAACTTACTGAAATTACTTACTACATGTAGTAACCCAGACAGACAGAAAATTAATGCCAGTGCACTACCTATTACAAAAATTATTTATAATATATATTATATATTTTTATTTATTTATAATCTTCTAAGGTTAAAAAATTAAGAATAACACAGAAAAACAAAGTTTTTGTTCTGTGATCTCCTTTACAAAATAACATTTTTTCTATAAATGGAGTAAAACCATTAATATGTGACACCCATGTTTGCATAACCAGAACCATTTGTCTAGCACAAAACAAATTCATTGAAAGAAATTCCTTACATTTCAGTACCTGACAAATAACCGAGGTCATGTCATTTTTCACATTACATGCAGAATAATTAATGTTCACAGAGCTACCCAAGACTTCAAAGCACCTAAGTAATTGGAGCCATTATTCTAAACCAGTACATTAACTGTATTGGGTGTGTTAACACTTCACATTCAGTGTTTCCGTTTAGTTGTAGCCACTAGGCAGCACAGTATCATCAAATGCATTAACTCTTTTATAGTCTTATCTGGGGATAGTTTGACCAAACTTTAAGGTGGAGGAGAGGTGTGTCCGGAATTAGTGCTTTATGCTGTATTAGCATAACTTGCCTGGCTGAGAAGAAGAGCAATCTGTCCATGAGGATAAGGCTGTGGAACCCCTCCCTACATTTCTTTTAAAAGCAATGAGCCAGTAGGCTGCTGCAAGGCTGAATATTGAGTAGATGTGCAGAGCAGGAAAGCCAGAAATGTGATATTTATAAGTAGGTGACAGTGGGTGAGATTAGGGTTTGACCTCCTGAAAAAAAAACTTGAATTTAAAACTTCAGTAATGATGCCAGTACTCTTACTGTATAAGCAAATATGAAGCTGTTTGTTTTGCCCTGAACAAATTGACA